CCCCCCCCCCCCCCCCCCCCCCCCCCCCCCCCCCAATTGCTCCAGGGACTGTCTGACTCTGCTTTCACAAAAACGTATGTTGCTGTTTATTGGAGTAGTAAGTCTATATTTGCTTAGAAAAAAAATTATGCAATTTAACATTAAAATATGTTCAATTTAACAGCTACACTATATATATATGTTACTGAAATGTTACTGATATCTTATTAGCTGGCTAGGTTCCCAAACCATTCCATATTTTAAGTTCAATTCCAGAAACGTATTGATTAATTAACCAACTAATTAATTAATTGATTAATTGAATTGGTTAAATAACTGAATGAGGTATTGATCAGTCAACAAGGTTGGGTAGTGGTCAAATCAAAATGTACAACATGGGTCTTTTAGATGGTTGCTGTAAATATCAGGCTGACTTTAGTAGAGGTTTAGAAATGGTTAAGCTGACACACTTGGACAGATGTTGGTGCAAAACTATGATTTTACATGAAATTCATTTAAGCATGAATTCCTCTGACTGCCTAAGACTTTTCCAGACTGTAAGTCTTCCCTTTGCTGAGATGGTGGTGGCGTGTGATCTTCAGAAATGTCTTCCGTTCCAGGCTGTCCCAGGAGAAGTACCCCAAACTTGGGCAGTACTACACCCTGGTGAAGGAACGTCCCAGTGTAACGGCCAGCTGGCCTCCTCACTGGCTGGAGAATCCCCAGGGCATGGATACCCTCAAAGATGTCTGACCATAACCCTAACACTGAATGATTGAAAGTGGACAACCACAACTGTCTGCTGTCTCATCTGTCTATTCCCTTTGCTTTTTATATTTAGATGTGCAGCCAAACTTAAACCACAACGGAACCTGCAGTGTATTATGAATAGAGCTTAGACATTCCCCAGTGTTTTGTGAAAAAACATTAACATGTTTACAGCAGTTTTGTAGCACTTCTGATTTCTTCCTTTAACTGCTAATTTCTGGATACTGTGAAATGCACCTCTTTTTCAGAACAAATATGTAACAAAATGAAGCACTTCTGATATCCAAGTTAAATCCTTCCAAATAAAACCAAATGTAGAAATTGCAAATGTTTCTCTTTCTATGCAGTTCACCAGATAAAATTCAATGGAGACACAAAAATACACATGCATACACATGTGAAGAATGATTATAATTAGTTATGAAGCTGAGTAAGCGTGCTGTATATTGTCATAGCAAGCTTTGTGGCTTATATGAACAATGGCTAACCCTTGCATAAAGTCTTTGTCTTTGAAGTAAAAATTTTCTCAAGAATATCTTCAACCTATCATTCATTTCACATGTAATTAAGTTTCTCTTCTGATTTTCCTGGGGAGACGTTTTAGGATCAGAAGATTGAGGAAAAGTCACTTTCTCTTACAAACACAAATTCATAAATTGTTCTATAGGGATAAACTCGGGTAAACATGTCTCTTCTTAATTCTTCGGTTGAAGTGCTCAGGGCATAATCATGCATGTAATACCTTCAGTAAATTACATTTCATAATGGGAAATTATATGAGGTTGTGCTGAAAGAAGTGCTGAATTACTTTATCCGGTGCACGGATGTTTGTGTTCCAATGCCTAGATTTAATTACCAATACAAAAAGTTTTGGATTATAGAATTGCGGAAATAATTGAAAATATATTTATGGAGTGACGTTAAAAACCTTTGGTAGGGGGTCAAAATCTAAAGGGACATCAAATGGGACATTCTTGTTGCGTATAATGGGCGTATGTATTAGTGACAGGCATAAGTGGAGGAGTTAATTAGGAGTTATTAGGCGTAAAAACGCTGCGAATGCGAAGCGTTAGTAACGCTTTGTTTATAATTATAGCTATAATCGCATAGCCTTTGGTTTAACATTAAATCCCGCCTTATTCGCTGCGGACCAATGAAATCGTAAAGCTGCCCACGAAGTGGCCAATAATGGCGCGATTTATCTAACTTCCTACATCACCGACGTTAGGGGGCTTTAGCTTTTGCTGCAGCGTTTTCGAAACGGCCGAAGTGCGGGAGGAGTGGGGTGAAACGCGCTCGCCGTTCCCGTGAAGAGCAGGCTTTAGGAGACCATACCCCCTCCCTGACAGAGGGTTCACGGGACTGGAGCTAAAACATGTCTGCGTTTTCCGAGGCGGCTTTAGAAAAGAAGCTGTCGGAGCTGAGCAATTCTCAGCAAAGCGTCCAGACACTGTCGTTATGGCTAATCCACCACCGAAAACACTCGAAAACCATCGTAACGGTTTGGTACAACGAGCTGAAAAAAGGTATGGGTCCGGCTGGGGCGATCGCAAAAGCGGCCGCGGTGCTCCGGCGGCTCGCGTAGTGCAGCGCGTCGGCGTGTTATTGTTTTTTCTTAGCGGATACATTGTTGCCAAAATAGCAAGCGAGCTTCCGTATCATCCATGTTTTAACCCTCCCTCCGCTGTCCGTGTTCGCGAATCGAAGTTTGTTTTGCACCCTTTACGGCAAACATGGCGATCAATGGGGGCACACCAGGGTGCCGAACAAGTTGAGCATTTCTTGGCATCAGGAGGATGGAAATTGCAAAAACTAGGCGCTATGCGTGGTCTTAGTTTATTATATGCTAAGCATGCGAGTAGTGATCGCATGGGAAGTTTTCTACAAATTGCGTGTATATTTCCTGAGTTCGCATGACTTCCCAGGTGACCCGAGATATGTGCCAGCGGCTCTGTGGGCTTAATTCCCGAAAGCTGCTGTTCTGGATGCACCTTGTGCAGATTTTACCCCACCGGGGTGCTTCTTTCTCTATCCAGTGACCTGGAAAGCGTTTAGAAAATGCTCCCGCCTGCTTCAGACGTCCATATAACGTACGTTTGCTGACTTAAGATGGCTACGCTAATTCGTGCTGACTGACCGTGCTTTGTGTCACTGTCTGATTAGTATTGCAGACAAGTGAAGGTCTGCAGATGCTTAGACCTTTAAGGTTGGTTTCTTTCTGAGCTTACGCTAATGAAATTTCTGACTGCATAAAAGTAGAGCATAATGGCCAAGGTTTAACTGAATGTCATGGTCTGGGCCACCATATCTCCAGGCCTGAAGATCAGCAACACCCAATTAGATCGACCTTACTGCTGGACATGAGGCACCGTGGCCCAAGTGGGACTATTTTAGAATGTTACCAAGGGCTCATCTGCCGTGTTACATGGTTAAATCCTTGTAAATCCTTAACTATAAAGCAGTAGTAGTCTTCAGATTGTTAACCAATCTGTTTCTGCCAACCACTGTTGAGAAACTGGGTTTTGGTCCTTCTTTGCATCCATATAGACCATCTGAGGATGATAAAACATAACCCTGAGCTACACATGCAAATATCTGAGCTACCTGTACGTTTGGGCTGTCCCAAGTGTGGCATCATTAAGTTGTGTGGGAATTCTCCAGGTGTGTGTGTGTGTGTGTGTGTGTGTGTGTGATACTAGCTCCTGGCCAGGTGTGCATGACACAGCTAGCGATTCAGTAGGTTAGCCTGAGTGTTGGTATATGCAAGTTTTCAAAGGAATGTTGAAGCGGTGCTGGCTTATCTGCCCCCCCTCCACCCAAATCGTATAAACGGGAGGACCTGCTCATCAGTGTGGTGCGGGGCCTCAAATTAAACTCCCTGGCATGTCATGGGCTACCCGACCGCTGCACAAAGGAGGGTGCCCACACACTGGCGAGATGGCACCGCACCTCACCATTCCCTGCGTCGATCCATGGTGTCCACCGTCTCCATGGAGAGCGAGCAGGCAGGACATAGGAATAAGGCATCTGATGGACTAAATGTTAAGCCAGAGGCAGCTGGCTGATGTCACCCTTGTTAGGTTTGCTTAATTTTAGAACAAGGCATGTCTGTTGGTTATAATATCGCCAAATGGTACTTAATGATGTAGATGTGCAGTGAGGTGATACCGTGCAGTGAGGTGATGATGCCAAGCACTGCATGTACCTTCAGTTCTATGTTTTTATTTTTTTTTTTTAAAGCATTAATCAGAAACGTTGCGTAATGATGGTTGTGCCAAATGGATTTGCCACGACTCTTAAGCAGTGCTGTGAAGATGAAGACACTGGTGACACGGGAATGAACCTCATCTAATTTTGGCCTTTTCCCCACTTGCGTTCTACAGTGTGAGACGTTACCTCGTGCAGTGGTTCAATTCCTAGGTAGGTAGGTTCTCGACTGACCGCGAAGCGGAAGAGCCGACCGTCTGGGGAAACGTTACCTGGTACACTGCGATAGCGAGGACTGAGAGGGAGTCATTGGAGGCAGTATTACGATTTCAGCTGGATTCTTTTCAAAGTGGGGGGGGGGGGGCTAAGTGATTAGAAGAGAATTTGTATACGAACACACACATTGAGCTAGAGCAGTTTGTCTTTTTCTATTTTTAGAGCGCTGATCAGTCGCTATTTTGTGAATATAAATGATTCTTTAAGTCCATTTGATGTTGCCTTTCTGGTGCTTTCATCCAAAGGTGTTCACAGTGGTGTGTGTTTACCCTGCTTACAGCAACGCAAAACCTGAGATTTGAACTGGCCACTTTCTGCTTGGGTCTTACGGCAGAAACGTGCGGGATGCCAGATCCCGTGTTTGGGTTTGCAGTCGCATTCAAATCCTAAATGCGTTTAAATCAGTTACAGTACAATAAAGAAGCGGTAAAGTCCAAACATCTGAAACTGATGTTGAAAATACTGTAGTACTTTAAAAACATCCTGTTAACTTCCTATAGTTTCCTCCTCCTTTTGTAGGATTGAATTGTCCAAGTCAAATCCAGTTCCCCACCTGCTCTGTTTTTGGCTGGACAGTTGGTGCTTTGAATTGTCTTGGTTGTTCAGTGTTATCTGGGTGTTCAGTACCTCTTATTGTTCTTTGCCGAGAAACGTGTGCAGCATCATGTCATCAACACTGTTTCTTTCTGCCCTGGGCTGCAGCTGTCTTCTGATTGGCTTGCCTGCGATGATCTCACCATCGACCCCCCCCCCCCCCCCCCCCCCCCCCCTGCCCCTGTAATTCTGTTGTGAAATGTAATTGGGGACAGTTTTGTTTGTTTGGTTTTCGTCTCTTCCTATATAACCTATGATTGCTGGAATGCCATCTTTAGAAGTGTAATGACCTTATTTATGAAAAGATTGTGTTCCTTCATGGTATGAATCTTCCTAAAATGTTATAGGCTGGCTTTTTTCTATTGGGTTCTTTTCCAGCTACCAAAACCCCCTTTTCTGTTGACTTCCAGTTGAGTACCAGTACCAAACCAGCTGGGGTACTTTTTTGATACTTTCGGTACATAAAAAATAAAAAATTAGTGAAACTTAAACCCCCTGTACTATAATGTCCATACAGTATAAGCGAATGAAAATGCCTGATCTCATCCCAGCTGTCATGGCAATTTGAGAATTGAATGTGCAATACATGCAGCATTGTAAATTAATATCCCAGCCCTGTAATATTCTATAGCAATTTTTCGATTTCAGTACAAAACACCCTGTCTCACATTGTGATGTCACCAGTTTTAACGGCAGTGGAAAGCCAATGCAAAGTAGTACCGTGTTTTTGGTACTTTTGGTGTAGTGGAAAATCACCTTTTGTGCATGCTTGATTTGTAGAGGCTTGGCATGTTCGTGGTATATCATTGCACCCCCCCCCCCCGAGGATGTACCAGGGGGAATTGCCCCCCTTTCCCTCTTTGCCCAAGGTGGGCTGCAGCTCTGGCCGGATGTAGCACGAACGGATTCAATTTCTGTTCACCCAGAACCTGAAGGCAGTGTACTCAACATTCGTGTGTGTGCTTTAGTGCTGGTGTGTACAGTGCCAAAGGGAAAGTGATTGGTTACTTTGTTTTTACGCGATAGCCAATGAACACTTGGCCCAGTTATTGCTGAAAAATGCATCGTGACTTTTGTGAATGAAAATTGCAGCCAAGACCAGAGAAGGTTTGTTAGTAGTAACACATTCTCAGTCTTTCTTTGGGCCACACTGAATGGGTATAGGGGTTAAATGGGGAAACCCCAGAGGTCAGACAGGCTGTTTTTGCAGACTTACAGTTCCTCTGTTCCACCATAGTCCCTCTGCTACCTTTTGTGTGATTTGGTTTCTTTCCTGCTGGGAAATCTTTGTGCTGTAGCAGCTGGGGTTCAGTTTTTTGCTTCTCCCTCCTGAGATCCTGGTAACTTCAGAAGTGTGAGTTGGGTCTGAAGCAGGACTTCAGTGTTCATGCGTCTGAATCACGGCCATGTTGGTCTCCTGGGTTTCATTCTTTATTTAGGGGCTGACTGAATATCAGGTTAATAGCTCCTTTGTTCGCTCGCTCGTTCCCCCCCCCCCAATTTTATTTCATGCCCATCTCAGACTTGGAACCACAGACAAAACGGCAGATATACAATGTTTAAAGCAAAACAAAGAAATGGGAGGGGGGGGGGATTGCACACAGAAGTGGTACAATAGTCATGTCTGGAAACGCATGCTGAAAATCCACTTTTTTCCAACGAGAACCTCTGAGTGCTTTGGGTTATGTAGTAAGTATTTAGTGATCATGAAAGGAGATGGAGTGTTGTGACCGATGACCTGCCCCCGACAATCCCCTGACCTGAACCTAATAGAACTAGTTTGGCCAGAACTTGTGGAAACTCCTTTCAGACTATGAGAGAAGCATTCCAGGTGGCTACATCTGGAAGCTGGCTGAAAGTACGCCCAGAGTCTGCAATACTGTCATCAATGGGTTAATTTGAAGTGTAATATTTGAGAACGTTCTAAGATGTTGACCACTTCGTTGTCGTATTTTTATTTATTTTATATAAATAAATAATGTATGCACTACTTCTTTGCCTGGAAATCTTTTGCTGCAAGATGAATAACAGACAAATGTATCATAAGGAGACACTTTATTTACATATTGCATTTATAAACGTCCCGTTGAGGAAAAACGGCCACAACAGCAAGTGTGTGTCAGATTTTTCCTGGTACTATATCTTTTCAGGTAGAGGTAAATGATTGAGCGAGGCAGATTTAGCTGAAAGTCGCAGTGAGTTAGCTGGAGAGTGGTGCCGCCTTTTCAGATTGATTGCCAAGCATCACTTGCTAGACTCTCTCCCAGCACCTCATGCTCCCCATGGCCTTGTGTCTGCAGCTAAAGTGTCACGCAAGCTGACCTTCCTGTACCTGGCCAACGACGTCATCCAGAACAGCAAGCGGAAAGGACCGGAGTTCACGCAGGACTTCGCCCCAGTCATCGTCGACGCCTTTAAGCACGTCTCCCAGTAAGCCCTGCTTGGCGGTAGACTCGTCCTTCGTGAGCTTAATAACAGTCTTCCAAAAAAAAAGGGGTCGTTGGCTTATTTCTGTTGGCTTTGTCTGTCTTCCCAGCGAGGGTGAGGAGAGCTGCAAGAAGCACTTGGACAGAGTGTTGTCCATCTGGCAGGAGAGGGCAGTGTATGAAAATGACCTTCTGGAGCAGCTCAGCCAGGTCCTGCGTAAGTGCCGACCGCATGCCGTGCTGCCTTCAGGACAGCAGGACCGTACTACATGTTAACAAGCCCATTAATGTCTCTGCACCCACTGCTGACCTCAAACAGTGATGTAGATGGGAAAATTCCCTGCTTATGGACTTATGAATGTTAATGCCGTTTCCCTCGTTTTGTAGATTGTGACCGGAAACCCCGGAAGCGGCCGTACGAAGAGATCAAGCTGGACGACGATGACGACGACTTTCCCTGCCAGAGCTCCCCCGCCGAGCCTCCGCAGGTGCGCCCCCCCCCCCCAAATATACGCTAAGCCGGCAGTGTCGTCGGTCCTTTTCCTTTTCCTTTCTAAACCCCTTGCTGTATGTTCCCCCCCCCCCAGACAGCGGAGCTGATCCGAGCGCTTCAGGAGCTGGAGAATGCAGCATCGGGGGACTCTGCACTGCGCCAACGCATCTCCTCACTGCCACCGGAGGTGCAGGACACGACGCTGCTGCACAGGATCACTGGTATGCTCGCACCCCCTTCATCCAACCATTTGGCCTCATGCAGTTTTCCCAGACGGTGGTGGTGGGGGTGGCGTGTGGCTCATTAGGACTCTGTGCCCACGACTGGAAGGTTGCTGGTTCAAATCCCAGAGTAACTTTCTCCATTGGGCCCTTGATCAAAGCCCTTAACATCCAACTGCTCCATGGACTGCTTCCTCAGTTGTATGTGACTTTGGATAAAAGTGCTTGCTAAATAATGTGCTCTCAGCCAATCAGATTTGTCTCTGTCTCTCTCTCTCTCTCTCTCTCTGTGTCTCTCTCTCTCTCTCACCCATCCCCGCACACTGTAGACAGAGAGTCGGGGGAGCGCCTGTCCAGACTGGTGGAGGAGGCATGTCTGTTGTTGGCAGACTACAGCGGGCGGCTTGCCGCGGAGATCGACGACCGGCGGCAGCTCACACGCACACTCGCCCTCTTCCTGCAGAGTCAGAGGAACGGCCTGGCCCAGAACGAACAGAAGCTGGAAGTGCGTAGATGTTTTTAAAGCCTTTTGCGCCCCCGTCTTCTGCTGCCCTCAATCCCTTGTGTGCCACTTCCCTTTCAGTGCTGGAGGTATATTATACTGCAAGTCGCTTGTTTTTTGTTCTGTTTCTAGCCTAGGATGCATAAGAGGCAGCTGACCACTTTGGATTGGCTAAAAGCAGATCTATCCAGCCTCTAGTAGGATTTTAGTAACTTTATTTGGAGCCAGATCGTCATGTGACTTCCAACAAGTACATACTTGAAGAGGCTGAGGAATTGCATTGTGGGTTTATGGTAATTATGATGGGCTTTTAAGTATTATATGGGCAGACTTTGTCAGTAAGTCTTGTCAGGCTGTCAGTCAATGACCCCAGGTTCGAAGGTCAAGCATGAGCCAATTTATGATTTTGATCATCTCCTACATATGCCTGTAGGCCTGTAGTCATCATGCAAGCAGTGCCAGGGTCCAAAGTCTCTGGCTGCCCTGCTCTTCCCTAAGCGTGCTAACTTTACTCATTTCTGACTGTTGTTAGTGATTGAAACTCTCTAAACATTAAAATGAGTTAGCAGTGGCTTCTGGTAACATCCAGCCACAGACGGGCCTTAAGGTCGAGTGTTAGCAAGCTTAGGGAAAAACCTTAATCATGGGCCAGTTTGTAGGGTTATGATTAAATACCCAAAACGTTGGATGCTGTAATAGTGTGCTTGTTAAATAACAGATTGACATCGACATGCATGAAGAGGGGATTTTTCCTGGTGGCTGCCCTCTTCACACAAAGTGCCGTTTTTGTGGACTTGCATTTATACATGACAGGGGGATATAAATACAACGTGAGCTTAAGAGTGAATAGAGCTGTACAAGTTGTAAGCCTCAGACTCTGTGCTGATTGGTTACTGAATCTGCAAGGTACAGATTCAGTAACCAATCAGCACAGAGTCTGTCTGGGAGTTGGAGTCTGACTTGTGCTGATTGGCTGTAGCATTGGGGAGTGACACTGTCCCAGTGGTGCTGGCCTTCACCAGTGGTAAGTAACCCTCAGTGAACTTTGGATAGGACCTTCAGCCTTCCTGATAATTGGCCATGCTTGCTGTCTGTTTGGTATATAGTATTTGTCATTGGAATGGCGTGACGATGCTGCCTGCCTGTCGGGAAAATCTCTAAGCAGGTGGCTCGTGGTTTGTGACTCCCGTCGTTTCCGAGCTCGAGTGATTAACCCTGCGTTGTTTAGCTCTTTGTCTGCAGGTACTGAACAGGATCGTGCCTTCTGGAGTCATCAGTACTGGTTCCTCCTGTAATAAAGAAGGGAAAATAAAGGAAACAACTTGTATCTGTGGGTGTGGTATTATTTGACCCCTTTCTGCATGCTCCGGCCTTCTCTGCAAGTGAAAGGTGACATGTGGCAGTGCAGGGCTGCAGCAGAGCCAGGATGCAATTGTGCAAAAAAAAAAAACGGAAACATCCCGCCAGTTTTGGGGTTTGGTGGTTTTCTTCTGCTGTAAAACATAAAAACAGACGGGGAAACATTTTCTTTTGAGGTTTGATCTTCGCCAGGTGTGTCTGGAACACGCCTTTTCAGTAACATTAATTTGTAGGTATTCAATATGGGTTTTTTTTTTTTAATGGGTGGGTGTGCAACACGTTCACATTCTGTAGAAGTCTTGCAACGGGTCAGTTGCCTGTTGCACTTTAGATAGTGAAACTGAGAAATGGAAAGTTGGGTACACTTGGAAGTAATCTTAAGATAAGCCTGTCAATCTACATGCACACACACATACTGTATATTTGCATATACATTCAAAGAATTGTGGGAAAACCCAAGCAATTCAATGTGTGATAGGACTGCTTATGTCCCAGTTTTTTATATTAACTACAGTACAGAGTTCTGGTGCAAAATAGCAGTTTGCTGCTTTTTTTCATGGAAGCTGGTCATGTTAAGTGGCCTTACCTGGCCAGCAACATGGTCCTTAACATTCATACAATTTAGATTGTTACTATAAAACGTATCGGGGGGGTTGTCTTGGAAGGCAAATCCATCTCTTGGTGCTACTGCTCTACAAAACATCGACTTAATCCTCCCAAGATTAGCTTCCCCCCCCCCGATACTTTATGGGCCTCAGCTACACTACGAAATATCTATTGCCCATTTCTAGATGAGTCATGTGTCTCTGGCTTCGTTAGGGAGGGGGGGGGGGAATTTAAATTTGGTTTTGCAATTGAATCCAAATGGGGTCTAGATATTCAAGAGATGCAAGGGACTTCAGTCATTTAAGAGTCATGTTTAAAGCTACAGTCAGCGAATTGTCTGGATTTGGAAGCTCTGCCCTCTAAATGTAAAATGGGGGGGGTGACTCCGCCTGCATTATCCTTGTAGTGTGAGCTGAGGGCCCGTGGGAGCTGTATCTTTAGCGTGGTAGAGACTTCACACCATTTTATTTCATTCTTCCTCTGATGCTAAAGACTGTGAGGTTTTATTTGAGGTCTCATGCCCTAGTTCCATTTCTCCAGAAATGGCTCGATTCACTTAGCAGATTTTTAGCTTAATAAGTGGTGTCTCCTCTCTTATTGGGTTGGGGGGGGGGGTAAATCTCCAAGTCAGTTGTTCTGTTTCTGAGTTAGGGAGGATTAATCTTCACAAAGTTTGAGAACCTGCTCTCAATGGTTCTGGTACATTTCATTTAAAATAATGAGTCGTGTTTTAAACCATATCAGTCATCAGTTTAGCTTCAGCCTCCATAGCCATTACAGCCATTTTGTGCCACGATGCTCAATACTCACAAAGTGCACTTAAGAGGCCATGTTGTGATTAATCACTGACACTGAAATAAAGGGTTTCAACAGATGAGGGCATTTGGGTAGAGGATCTGGCATAATGTTTTACTTTTTGCAACGGGATACGTAATAACTTTAGTAACATACCCCTGTGCTCTGGATCAGTGTTTCCCAACCCAATCCTTCTGGACCCCCCGCCACGCCACATTTTCAGTCCTTCCCTGCTCGCTGCCAGATAGTCCACATGACGATCTGACTGTCTGGGGTTGGGAAACACTGCTCTGCATAGAATAGGACCTTTTCAACTCCTACTGAAGGCCTTGGTATAACTTCTCATCCACAAGGGGGCAGTAGTGCAGCCCAATACTTTTAGGGAGTGCCAAAGAGGAAATACAGGCCTTGTTATATATAATTTTTTTTAAAGGAACAATTATTCTTAATAGACCTTTGTTTTATATCTTCTTATGGACCTGATAAGAGTCAGTAAATTACTACAATGCTAGACTAAGACAACACAAAATTAAAAAGCTTTATGTTAATTCAAAGTAGGTCAATATGTAAACCCAGCTAAAACAATCCAAACATGAATCTCGGTGTAACTTTGACTGTAGTTCACTATAAACTGGTCAGAGCTCTGACTACCAGGTGACAATCCATTGCAAGTCTTATTATGTCTAATTTCTATAATGACAACCAGAACTGATACAGAGGCCTTTGAACTTTTTTTTTTGTCTCTTCTGACTTTTGGACTTCAGGGTCTGTTCTTCCTTAATAGAAATGGGAAATACTTGTATAAATGAATTGAGTTAAATGTGCTTAGCCAAAAGCTAAACTGACAGTCACACTTAGCTCTTGATTCTTCAAGTTGAGTTAGAAATCTGGTTTATAGCATGGTCTCCGTGTCTCCAATTCTGGAATATGAAACAGTGTCGGCTCTTTTTATTCCTTTATCCTCTAGATCAAGGAGGCTATTCAAACTTCAGTTTGGTCTTGGTCACAAGACCAAACTAATCGAACTCCGCACTAAAATGAAAAGCTTATTCTTATGTTCAGTAATTTTTGTTGTTCATGGAATCTGCAATGCTATCCACTGTGCTTTTCCTTTAGCTTGGAATCCTGCTGTGCAAATCTTAAATTCTCTTATAAGCAGCATTTTTACAGTATAAAAACAAGTGTATGATTTCTGTACAAATACTGTTCTTTGTAAATAATGTGAATTTTTAGTTTGCTGGTTTCTGGAGGGTATGGAACGTTCTGGAATAAGACGGCTCACAACAAAGAGGTGTGATATGAGACAGCATGCCTTCTGTCGCCTGTCTTTCAGGAATACAAGCACAAGTTGGCCCGCGTATCCCAGGTGCGAAAGGAGCTGCGATCCCGACTTGGCAGCCTGCCCGACCTCTCCCTGCTCCCCAGTGTGACAGGGGGCCACGTCCACCTGCCCTCATCCGAAGGCCTCTACACCACCTCTGACTGACATGCCTTTCGTCTCTCTTCTCCGCCCCCCACCCCTCCCCCTCAAAAAAACCTGTACACATCCCAATGACAGATAGTCCATTTCACGAGTATCATGCTTCTGAGCTTCTTCTGCAGCAACCCTCTGCTCCCAGCCTGTTCTGACATTCAGGTCTCTCTCACTCAGCATGCTGTCCTTTTTACATGCTGTCTTCAGGCTCCTCCCTACATCTCCACTTCACTATCCTAACACTGGTCAAAAAGATATTGTTGTGACATTTATTTTTGTATCTCTAGTGAATTTAGATTATGGAACAGAAATAGGAATTGTATATTAAGTCGTTCTAATTAATGAATTGTGCAGTACAGTATGTCATATATTCAACTGCAGTATTTTATTACAATTATGATCTTTATGTTGCTCTGTCAATGCTTCTGTCTCTAATTCATCACTGCACAATTTTAGGTTCTCATTCTTGTCTTGTCACTTTTTAGTAAAGAAATGTGTTGAGATGAATAATCTCATAAATCACATTGGATATTGCTGAAGTTGAACAGCATATTTCACATTTTAATCAGGATAAAAGCAGAAGAGAAGAATTTTATGAAATCCAGCAATCATTTTGTGCAAGGAAGGTTTTAGTTTTTGAACTTAAAAAATGCTGTGCTTGTGTATATATTATTTATGCTACTCTCCTTTAACTACATTACCCAGGATGCCTGTAAGATTTGTTTTCATATACATCAGATGGAACCAAATGCAGTTCTTCATGAACTACTATAAATGGAGCTTTATCTGTTTACAAATTGTTTGTATCAGTCATGTGATCACTGACCATTACCCTGCCTTGCTCAGGATGTCCCAAATGGCATCATGTCCCACCATTATGCTAGCCCATGCCCAAGTGATAATTTAAACCTTCCCCTCTAGGTATGATTTGTGTGCACATGTACTGTATTTTTTCTCTCTTACATTTGTGAACTGAGGGTATCGTGCTGTCAGCGATGGCCATGCCTTTTAAGTCAGTGGAAGGAACAATGTTGTATGTGAAACCATACCTGCTAATTTATTTCATTAATTTGTTAGTATAAATTTAGTGTGGTATGTTACAAAATGTTCTATTGTCAGAGCAAAATAAATTGAAGTTAAAGTGATTTTCTGGATTTTTTTTTAATTTTAATTTATCATTATTTGATGTGTTGCTTTTTATGGTCAATAAAACTTTGAGAATATTGTCCTCATCCTTCTAAAACAGAAAGCAGCCTGACAATGAAAAAATAACCTCATAGTAGTGCTACTACGGACTATTAATTCTCTATGGCACTTAGATATTATTTTCATTAACAATGAAATATTGTTAATGCAGGGCCAGAAATCAGGATGCCAAACCATCACACGTAAAATTCAGAATAAATATTAAATCTATACATCAAATTTTCAGAGTGTCGAAAAATTTCAATAGCAGAATGTAGAAGATTACTTGTTTATATTAAATGTTAAAAGGATACTGATAAGCAATACCTCGGTAAGCTCGGTTCACGTCGCAGTCAAAACGTCACCAACGCCACCGGATGTACGTCGCAGACATCCTGGTACTTTTCGACCGGAAGTGTGGGGCTATGTGACGGCGGCTAACTGTGGAATTGTTTATGATTATCGCTATATATAACATTGTTTGTTTAATAAATATGAACAGCATATAATTCCCTGGTAAGACGTACTGCAAGTGCTATAACTAAAACGATAGTACAGTACATAAGTGAATCTTTTCATTCGAAGATCCGTACAAGTGAAGCTAGTTAGCAAACACCGTTAATTAGCTGGCTTTTATACAACAGGTAAGCTTTACAAAAGAACATTATACAGTATTTCCCAGGTGACAGATTAACACTGTGTTGCGTAAACTGAAATATTTCTATATTTTTCCAGTTTCTCGTAGTTAGCTTGCATGTTATTTTTGAATGTAACAATCCCTGATGCTAACTCACCACTAGTTTTTCCGGCACAGAAACAGCATGGAGGGCTCTAGTTACGACGACAGTGATGACATTTCCTTTATTTTATGTGAAGTAAGTGTATCTGAAATTTAGCGCCATGATTATTTTTTGGAAATCTCGTTTGATAGTTTTCGGTCAACCAAGCGTCCTTAACACTAGCCAGCTATGAGCTATCAATTGAAATGTAACGTACATATATTTTCAGGTATGTAATGCTAAAATTAGAGGAGAAACGCAGTACAAGATACATCTGACTGAGAATCAGCACCTAAAGGTAAGTGGGAGTATGTAGGTACTTTATTGAGCTATGATTCAAATACAGTTTTATTCATCTTTGTTAAATTCATTGTCATGGTTGAATGGCAGCTATAAACAAAATGTAATACGGGATCAACTATCAACATACAGGCAATATCTTCACTGATCCTCTACACATTAAACAGTAGAAGAGCACATGGATAAGTATTATGGTTGACTAATTTTTTGATTTAGCAAAATAAGAATCATGTCACTTACCTCTTGCCATGGACAAGGTCTTATTTTCTTTAAAGGAATCACTCTGCAATGATGATGAACCACTTGTGGCTGTAAAGTCTAAGCACCAGATGGCAGTGGACTCCTGCAAGTGTCCTACAATTGGCCGTTTTTTATTTACACTTGAAGTCTGGCTGTCTCAGGACACTGGGTCAGGTGACAGGCTGCTTTGATTCAATCCACATGTTCTGTGTTTGATCATTCCATATAACTTGCTATGGACTTGCATCCCATACAAGGTATACCCCTGTATTATGCTCTGTGCTGCCTGACCTGGAAAAGGCTCCAAGCTCCATGCAAACCCAGCCTGCAGAACTGGTTAGAAGATGGGTATATGGTTCCATATTAATATCTACCTTTCTTTCCCTCATGTTGCTAGTAAACTGATTCTAATGCCTGCAATGGATTCCTTCACTTGCATAATGTCCTACTACATTTTGAACCATTAGATTCCTTATTTTTGCAAACTTCATTCCTGGAGTAAAACCCTCTTTCCTACCTCCACATGTCCAGTTCTGCTACTATGTCAGTCTCATAACCTTCCAGAAAAAAATCTTTGTACTTTTGCTTTGGGGGGATCCTGAATTTCATTCATTAAATAAGTTCCATCATTTGATTCTGGTTTGTATTAGTAAAAATTGTAAGTGCACCTTAATGGAATGTTTTTGTGAATGTAAACAAGGCAGTACCTATTAGATGTCACTTTGCTCTGCAGTTATTAGACAGTCAGCCTTTTTCTGGTAGAATCTCCATGGTCACTTGTTCTTCCTTATTTCCAGCTCCAAGCTTGATGCTCATTATTTGCACTTTGTTGCTCTGTGAGCAGCAGGTCATCTTCCAAGCATAGCAGATGCTGTGTTTTGTCTGGAACGCCATCATTTCAGCTACATGTTTGTTCCACCTGACCTTTCCTCACAAACCTTAAGGATTATCCTCTCCGTTCAGTCCATTGGTTTAGTGACTGTTCTTGTCTTGTTCTGCAGTAGAAGCCGTCTTTCACAATACGCCATTGAATCAAGCGATTTAATACACCAGCAATGGAACAGACTCCATATTTCTCAGTGTTATCTTCCTAATATCTTTGGTTTCCAGAGATAACTTGAATACCTTCTGAGAATAAATGCAGCAGTATCCCCTTTGAACTCTGATTCTGATTCCAGCTTCTGTTTAAGTCACAAAGGCATAGTGCTGCTTCTCTCCGGCCGAGTCTTTTTGACCCTTTGAAAGGCAGAGTCTCTCGAGGCATGGACCCTTAAAAAGAAAAGCTATTTTTATTTTTTGGATAAAGTTGCTTGGTTTCAGCATTTCAGCATACTGTAAGATGCTTGCTGAACTGAGCCATAATGATGTCACCTCAAGATGATCCAACGTATAGCTTTCCATACCACAGAAGATCAAGATGGAAACTCAGGTGTTGCATGATGTGGAGCTGCGACTCTCCTTTCTAGTAAAATTATCAGCAGACTCCTCACAAGTTAACCGACTAAGTGGCCGTTTTCAAGTCTGTCTTTCCATGTCAAGAATCGATTTCTGGGCATTGAAAGTAAGCTTTCCTGGCACATCACATGCATTAAACGACAGGCAGCTCATTGGTGTTTAGATTGCGTGATGGATTTGAGGAGTATGCGGTGTGTTTGCCGTTTGAGATGAAAGTGTGCACTCTGTCATAGTGAGTGAGAGACGGTACAGAACCGTAAGCTGTGTGGTGAGTGTGTGAGATTCACAGACCTGCGGCGGTTAATCCCTGGCGAAGGCTGCTCTGTCTCACGGATCTCCGTCATGTGGTGCTGTGTCGGTTGCATCAGTAAGGCCTTTTGCAAGCTGAAATCTCTCCCCTGGCTTGTTGCTGACTCCTTGTGCCTCTTTTCTCGGCTGCTCCACCCAAACGCCCCACAGAAAGAGGATGCACTGATCGCCCGCGGTAAGTGTCAGCGTGCATTCCCCGTACATGTGCCCCCGCCGTTTTAGTCTCACACCTGTAATATTCACAGTTAACCTGCCATGTATTTGCAGGTTATATGTGTACAGCTTCTTGCAAGTGCGGTACAGTCTCACAGACCAGTTCAGCTTTAAATTGTTATACATACTTTTCTCAGATGGGCTGATATGTCTGTGTGCTGCATCCATGCTTTTTGTTTTTTTAATATTTCCAGGAGTAAGTGTTCCACCAGTTCAACTAATGAATATTTTCCCTGCAAAGAAATATGAATTAAGTTTGCAGCTGACTAGAGGGGTGGGACCGTTATCTCATAACAACTGGACCGGATGTTTAACAATTTCATCACCCTTCTGTTTGTCCCTTATTGTTCATCAGAAGCTCTGGCCCATGATCTTTTGTCTATACACTCAGGATGGAACCAGTTGCCTAGCAACAACACATGGCCTTTCTATGCAGAGTTGCTGTTAGGGTAACAGTAAAATTTGTCTTCCCACATACATTGTGCACACAGGCGGCTTTTAGCTTCACGTTTTTCTTATTTTTCTGAGAGACCAACTTTCCTCTGCTTAACTGGACAAGCATCAGTCTCACCATAACTGGGTACCTTTTCACAATACTGTGACACAAAGTCCCTGGAGGGACTCTGCTGTTGTACCCTTGAAAAACGTGCTACACATGAATTGCTGCAGAAACACCAGAGGAAGAAATATATAAAATGTGGTAAAATGGCTGGCTCTCATTGCTCACCAGTGACAGCTCTAGTTTTTATTGGAGTTATAAATTAAAGGAAGGACCATAACGAAAGCAGAAGCTCTGACTCACACTCGGCCTGATGTCTGGTTACAAACTCGAGCATAAGAACTGATACATTGGGAAGATGCCAGAACTTCTGGATCTTTCCATCGTCACGGTACACAGGTGAGGTTGAGCTTAAAGCTCTAAAAATCCTCGATTAGGACTTTTAGGCTACCCTGCCTTGCTCAGGATGCCTCCAGCATCACTAGTGAGGGTGCCATACGGTCTGGTAGCTCTCTGTGTCAGTGAATGTCTGATTCATGGCCTCCACTAATCATTTGGCACCGCAAACAGCAGCTGACGGTATTTTTCTGATTTCACCTGGGAGAGGATCCCTTGAGCGAATCGGCATTCGCTTCAGACCGTTGGCAAAATAAGCCTGATCGGCCTCTGGTTCGAAAGCTTCAGGCAGAGCTTCCATCTTGTCACCACGGTTCAACTCAGTGGCAGAGTTCTGCTTCAGGGTTTTGGCCGCAGAAATGGAAGCTCAGCACAGCCGCTCTGTAGTTGGCTGCCTGATTGGACAGAATTTCTTACCCATTTTCATCCAAAGGAATGACAACATCGCTGGTGACATGAAGAAATATGGAACGTCAAAATCTCAAGTGAAGAATTACAGTTCAGTTATGAGCTCTGAGTTGGCCTTTAGTGCCTAAACATTTCAGCATCTTTGGAAACTGATGGGAAATGTAAAGCCCCTCATTTACCTGTGGGAGGGTTTGAAAGAGATTTTTGTGTGCTTGTAAAACATTTTTTATACTTTGAAATATTTTAGCCCCTCCCACTTGTGCTATTAAATCATGGCTATAAATCCTCCATTCCTGATCAGTTCAGTAAAGTGCATAAAGAGATTTTTGTTGTAGCTACTCAGTCTGCTTTCACTAACGTCACCACTGTAATATCTGCCCATACATACGAAGTTGAGAATTTTTAAGTTGAGTAATATTTTAATGGACAAATGAAATGCATTTTGCCTAATGGTACAAAATAAGCTCTGTCATAATTCTTAAAGTGAACGTTCAAGCACAACTAATGTTCTTCATTTTATGACCGTAAGTAAGACCTTGTGAGTTAGACCGGGGATTTGTAGGGCAGCTCGAAATGCAGTGATCCCTGGCATTTATCAAATTTGACTGTCGCAGGGCTCTTTAGAAGAGAGAAGCCCCTACCAAAATGGACCAGTATATCCCAGTACATTGACTACTTGCAACTGGATGAGCCCATAATTGGTAAGAAATACTGTCCCTTTTTCTTGCCGTCGATTGGGTCTTGATTGACTTGCGTGAGCCTCAGCTCAAATAGCAGCTTCAGAGAAAGCAAGGGAGATGCTCTTCAGCCCACACCTACGTTGTACTTGCATGTTATTGGCTTGTTCAGAAAGGACTGCATTAGTAGCCTTTACCGCAAACCTGCTCTAGATTAAACCACGACTTCAAAAAAGTAACATTGCCAACAATGCAGCTGGTGTGACTGATTTGGGACTCTGTCATTCCTGCATTGATGTAGATATCATGTTTCCTGCTTTTCTTAAAGGTCTGCAGCACCTGGTGGAGGTGGACAGCAGTGGTCCCGGGCTCAGGTACCTGTGCCGGCTCTGTTTCACAGAGGCGGACCTTCCCGGTATCACCAATCACATCCTGAGCCGGAAGCACCGGCAGAAGTACCTGGTGAGGTCACCTTTCTGCCAGTGTCTCGGGTCCTAGAAGCGGGAGCTTGGGTTTCCATCGCTGACCGTGTGCATCACTGCGAAGCGCGGCAGCCTCTCCGGCAGTGCTTGCAATGAGGATAACTGTGGACTTGCCCTCAGGTGACCAATCGACCCGACTTGGTGACATGGAATGTTAACAATGTGAATCAGCTGGGGAAGTTGGTGCGGGCCAAGGCTGAAGTGGTGGAACGTCAAGACGGCCGTGGTCTTCCAGAGGTATATGAATGTACACCGTCCACCGTACTGTGCACCTCACCGGCGGTCTAAACATGTGCCATTGTCTTCTCATTACATACATTTTGTCAGATGCTACAGTCAGTGACATAGTCGGATGATTTCTTTTAACTTTCAGGAAAGAAAGAGAAAAAGAGAGGTGAAGCCACATCCTGGCTCTTTCAGGGGTGAGCATCTCCAGGACCTGGTTAGAAAATGCTGCTCTAGACTTAAATTTGTCATCTAAAGTTGGGCATCCAGCTTGATGAGTAACCCCTACTCCAGATCTTTTGACGTGCGTTTGGTGGTACATTGGCTACAGTGGGGTTCCAGTCCCAGTCATTGTTTTTGTACATAAATGCAAAGAGTGTTGATAACGATGCTGCTTCACCCATAGTTACCCTAAAGGAGACCCCTGGTGGAATGGAAGACCAGCAGCATTACAGCAAAGCCCGCCAGAACCAAGCCATGGGTGGATTCAGGCGCTGGGAGGCGAGGAGGGAGATGACAGGATCGGGCAGGGGATTCAACGAAAAGGACCGTTACGGACAGCGGTACGGAAGAGGAGACTCGTATGGGAGGGGCTACCATGAGGAAGACCGTGACGAGCAGCGTTACCAGGAGGATGGCTCTTATGATGAAGAGTACCCGTACAAGGCCCCTTATGAGCAACGGTACCAGGATGCAGAGCCTTATAGGGAAGCCTATGCTGGGGGAAGCCAGTTTGGGCAAGAACATTTGGATGAGGGAGATTCCTGGCAGGGAAGGCAGGAGGAATGGGGCCACCACGACGATGCGGACAGACGCAGACAGAGGTTCCCGGACTCTTCAGAGGAGAGGAAGCGAGAGAGGCTGGTGCATCTTCTGCGTGACTGTGCACAGAAATCTCAACACACCGACCTCCCTGAGGGCCATGTTGGGGGTCGTGGGAACAGGGCAGAGGGACCTGATCGAGGGTTCGGTTATAGCAGAAGGGATGAGAGGAGAGTGCCGTTTGATGGAGAGCAAGCCAGGAAGCCTGCAATGTATAACAGGGACGATGGCACGAGGAGCACGCAGTTTGACGGGGCAGAGTATGACAGGGGTGAGAGATCAAGCTACCACAGAGAACTTCCTTACAGAGATGATGACCGACTGTCTAGAGAAGACAACAACCTTCCTAGAAAGAGGATGAGACCAGATCCTGGTTTGCAAAAGCAGGTACTTATAGATGTTCTGAGGGTGGAGATCTAGCCACTTAAATCGGTTTTAACTTTAGAAGTAGATGATAGAATAGCACGGTGGTAAAAATGATTAAATTGTATTTCCAGGTGGATTGCAGAAGGGCTGAACAGCAGAGTGTTAAACAAAATATCTTGGATGTGCTGGTAAGGTCAATGGTGCCTCATCTTTTGGGCATATGTTACGTTTTAAATTCCTGCTTGTATGTATTTTTTCTTTTGAGCACTTTAGTGATAAGATATATCAGAATTGATGGTTTTTAGGGTGTTGACTTTACTCGCACTCGCACGTTTTTAGTCTAAACCTTGAAAGCTCTAATAAAAGGTTTTGCCCTTTCTCAAAAATAATTCCAGAATAATATTGAAATTGAGACCATGGATGAAGCCAACTCCTTCCAGGACAAGCTGTGTAACCTTCTGGAGGAGTTTCAAGCAAACAAATCTGAGAAGGTTATGGTAAGATTACTGACCTGTACATTATGGAATTGAGGCCCAGAGAATATTTCAGTATTTAAAGAAATTTCATACTGAAATGAAATATAGGGGATCCCGGGGCAGACAAAGGAGGCGCTGGTGAGATTATGTCTTTCCACTGGCCTGGTATTCCACTGGAGGAGGTGGCTGAGGAGAGGGAGCTCTGGGCATCCCCGTTTAGACTGCTGCCTGCCCCCCGGGGGGGGGGGGGGGGGAGAGCGATATGGATGGGTTATTCCTCTGATCATTGGGTTGTTTGGCATATTTGCTTCAAATGTGAGAATTTCATTTAAATCCAGTTGTATTTCTGGCTTTATCATTTTTTTTGTATTACATTTCAGTCCAAGAAGAAGGAGCCCGTGTTTTCCAAAGATTACAATCATATGAGCACCGAAGCAGAAGAGCACAGAGGGAGTATGGAGTGGAGAGAGCCTTGGCAGGGCGGTCCGCCAGGCGACCACATGCATCCAAGGGACGCCTACCTTCAGAACCCCAGAGATGGCTATCAGGATGATCCACAAGATCACTACCATTCTGATGTCAGAGACGACCGTGGCGGTTACAATGAACGGCCAAATAGTCGCGGTCGTCGCAGGGGAAATTCACTAGAGCATTTCGAATACAATTCACAAGAGCCGTTCGAAGGGGATTTCCAAGACTCCGCGGGTGGGTACAGAGACCATTCAAGAGAGACTAGGAATTTTCACGGGGGCCCTTCCAGAGCATTCGACGACCGCTATGACAGACGTGCCAAAGAGGAGCGGCTGACAGACAGACGTCAATCTGATGATTGCCTGGAATCAGCAGCGCCGCAGCAAGATTACCATAAAGGTGAGTAGTGGATGTCGAGTCCTTGGACTGTGATCTGAAGCACTATGTGCTTCATTAGACAGGGTCCAACAATTAGCCAGTGTCTAGTTATTTCTGGTTGTACTGTGCAGATAAAAAACTTTAATTTTACAAATCAATTGTACATATTAGCTAATTTATCAAAATGAAAAACCCATGAAAGGCAGATATTCCAACTAAAATAACCCATTGTGTCTTTAGGAGGTTTCAGACATGCGACCCGCGGTTCCAGAGAGCACAAACCCGGCAGGCCATCTTATCCGCGATCCGAAGCCCCGCCTGAAGACAATTGGTCGCCCTCCGAGAGACCAGAGAGGTCCTCCTACCCCCGCAGCACCACCCCTGGTGAGGGGCGCGGTCACAGACGTCGTGCCTCACCCTGCTACCCCGAGCCCCCTTTCCACGAGCAGCCTGGATACAGGCCGAGGAGAGGCCAGGGTTCACCCACAGATCCCCCACCCTCCTCCAGCCTCAGCAAAATCACATCCACCCTCCTGCAGCTTGTGGCACGTAAAGGGTCATTTTAGAACGGTTAGGGGACCTAGACTGTCTGGTCAGCAGCTGAACTTTAACCTATAGTTTCCTGTCTTTGATAGCATGTAATTTTACTTTTAATAGTAATTGTAATTTGAACACATACTAAACCTGATAATTAAGGTGTGTGTTGAGCAGGGAAATCTGCAAACCTGTGTTGTATTTGGGCCCGTCAGGTCTGGAATTGGAAAGCTCCTCTGTATATCCTGCTGTAATGTTTCGACAATATAATGATATAAAAAATTAGATAATGTCCAAGACCCTGTTTTTCTCCTTCACGGATGTAATGGTCATCAAGGAGGTGGTGAAGTCGGATAACGAACATGGGGCCTTTGGGTATTAAGGAAACAGCTTTAATTATTGGCTTGGGCTTGTGACCCATTTACAGGTGCATGAATGAGCGTGACCTTTATGTTTTTGCTCCCTGCTGAAAGGTACCTCACTTATCCAAATGGGTGAAATGTAAAACTAGTCTATTTAAACTCACTGGTTATATGGGAATCTTGGAAATGTGCCACCTTAAAAAGTGTGACTTAAAAAATATTGCGTCTCTAATAATGTAAGATATGTGACTGATAGGGAGTGCGAGACGACAGGCTGATATTGGTCTATAGAACAAGGAATTAAACCCCGAGTCACAGAAATATTTTACTACGGCCATAGAGTAACTATACCCCTCCCCACCCCCACCACAGATGTGTCAAACTATTCCATGAAAGCTTAGTGTTGTCACAAAGCCCAGAATGATTTGGAAAGCGTCCAGGACCTCACCTGACGTACCTCCTGGTCTTCTGCACGGTCAGGTGTAGGTGAAGTAGCGGTCCTCCCCTCCGTGGTCAATCACCAGGCGGCCTGGGAAAGCCCCAGAGCGGAGTAGCCTGCGTAAACTGCTCCTGTGACGAAGTGGCGACATGCTTAGCTAGGTGTTTGCTTACTCACCCCGTGTCCGTGCTCAGGTACTCGGTGAAGAATGACACTTTGCTCACTCTTGTGCAACACATTTAATTTCTGGGTTTCACCTATTCGGGTGTGGAAGTAGAAGTTATAGCAGGTGTGCGCTCATCCCTGCGTACACTCACATCTTGACGAACTCTACTCTACTGGCGTCAGCTGCTGATGGTTTATTGTACTGCCCAGAGCTCCCCCTTACCTAAATTTAGGTAAGTGACGAAATAACAAAATACTTGCATTATGTTATTGGGACCTCGGCTTACAGCTTTGGGGGTTAATGTTTTCCCTCTCGCTTATCCAGCACCCAGTGCCACACAGTGACCCTTTCCAGAAGATTCCACGTATGTACTCAATCACAGACACCAGGGAAAGTGCAATTCGGAAGAAATAAAAACTGCATGGTTTTGCTAGCATTTTCGAACAGTGGATAGGATGCAGCATAGGAAGCAGTAGCTCTCCTGTTGTTGGACCTAGTTCCATAAATGTGGGAACTGGAAAAGGTGTACGGGTTCACATGATTGCTTGCTGGCTGTGGTCACAGTTTTCCTTCTTGGATATCTGGGACTGTGATGGATTCGTTTTCTCAGCAACCTGTTCTGAACTGTGGTGAAGTTGGATTTATATTCGATATTCGCTTCTTCCAGATTGTGACAGTAGTTCTTTTCAGATTGATGATTGTAAAGTAAAATGAGAGGAATATTTTACACTTTTAATTAGCTCCACACTCTCGAGCAATATGAATTAAAGTTACAAAGCAAGACGCAAATATCTATCTGCTCACAGAAAACGGCCGGAACACTTAGGGACCGTCTTGAAACTGCCCTGCCGCTCAGCAGAACCCCACTTGTATGTGTCCTATAACCGTCTGTCAATATTGCAGTTGGATAAATTGTAATAACTCCATTTTTAAGCCAATCACTATCAAACCAAGTTTAATGTTTTCCTCAGGTCCTGTCTAATCTTTCACACCCTTTTTTCCTCATAAAAAATGAAGGGAAGCCATTTATGGTTATTTAATATGGCTGTTGCTAAATAAGATCTTCAGATTGTAACGCACAAGGGCAGCGTCAATGACCGGACTGCGGAGAAGCTGGAGTGATCCACACAAGAGCTGAAATGACAGGTAAGACAAACAATCAGCAGCTGTGGCTTGTTAGGGACATGTCACCTTTTACTATGTAGCTTATCGTTTTACCATCGCTACCCTATGTGATTTATATTCGATATTCTCTAGCGAAAAAAACCTAGCGAATGTCGAATTTAAAACCAGCTACCCAGCGGCCTGTTCTGGGGTGGGTCGTTGCCACTCCCAGGTACCGCAAATGACTGGCCGCATGGTGTGCTATATGAGAACAGGAATCGTATTGGCGGAGTAACAAAAACTAAGATTAACTGTCTATTTAAAGACTATTAATTAGCTATCATTAAGGCATCTAAACGTCTATTTATAAAACAATTATATGCCATAAATCTGTAGCTCCAAACTCCAGAAGAGCTAAAAAATTCTGAACTCACTAATTTGCAGGATAGTAAGTGCCTTTTAATTGAAAATTAAATTGATTTAGTAAATGAGTTTAATGATTATTTAACATGGGTGTTCACAGTAGAGAACATGAGTAACTTACCACCATTTAGTACAAATACAGCATTGTCTATGACCAATATCTGTATAACTGAGGCTGATGTGGTACAAAGCCTAGCTAAGCTCAAAATAAATCACAGGGCCCTGATGGCATCTTACCTATAGTTTTAAAAGAGATGAGGGATATTATTAGCCAACCTTTAACTTTAATATTTCAGAAATCATTATCTGCGGGTGTGGTACTTCTGATTGAAAGCATGCTAATATAACGCCTATATTCAAAAAAGGGGATAGAAGTAATCCAGCAAACTATAGGCCAATCAATATAACTAGCATTAATGTAAAAATAATGGAAGCTATAATCCAAGTGAAAATGATAGATTACCTGGATGCAAATAACATTCTGAGGGATCATGGATTTAGGAGAGGTAGGTCCTGTTTAACTGATCTACTTGAGTTCTTTGAGGAAGCTACAAGAGAAATTGATCACAAAAAGGCCTACGATGTGATCTACTTAGATTTCCAGAAGGTCTTTGATGTTGTCCCCCACAAACGGCTCTTGCTTAAGCTCTAAGATGCAGGGATTTTAGGAACTGTGGCAGCTTGGATCGAAAGCTGGTTATTATTCCCTGCTTTATGGGTTTTCAGTCCTGCTTCTAGGAGCCTGTTATGAACTGTCCTAGCAGTGCACTTCACACCATTTAATGTTTCCCGTTCCTTTTGAAGGTCACTGCCGGGTAAGTAGACAGTCATCTCTGGCATTAGAATGTTGCTCCTGCCGTCTACCTGGCAGCCTTTTGGTTATCGCCAGTGACCTGCTTCACCTTGATCTTCTGCACTGCTGTCTTTGAATCTTGGAGCCTGGAAGCAGCTGCCACCAAGTGTCACTTTCTGCCAGCAGAACCAGGAGTAAAGTTGGATTTAAAAATGCAGATCTTTAAAAAAGGTAGAGTGGTCTCAATTTTTTTTTTCCAGAGCTGCATGTGTTACGATTGGTGGTATATTGAATTTGTATGGTATTTTAAAAATGAGATATAGGATGACACAAAGCTGTTTATATCGATATACATCTATTGTGAGTTCAAATTAGGTCTGAATTAAAAATTTTTAATAGAGACCAATAGAAATCATTCCTAGTTGTAAACAAAATGTGACACACAGAATCCCAGAATTCATTGCTAAAATCGAACCATTTGATCACATGAGGGAGGTTGATGGATTACTGAATAATTCACAGGTTTAAAAGTTGCAGTATTTGTTTTATTTTGTTGAAGGATATCACCTTAAAAAGATCTTTCCAGTTAAGTGCACTTTCAGTGGTCATCAGGCTTCTATTATGAGAGCAGTGTCATAAACCAAGGAAAAAAAGCCTGTTAGTGGACAAAGTGGTGTGAAATGTTTTTATGTTGTAGCTGCTGTAACTTATGCAACACATACAGTATAGACATAATTTATTTTCCTTTATTTTGAGGCTTGTTTGAAATAAAGAAAATGTCTATACTGAATGTTGTAGTTGTATATTTGCAAGCAGGGACAGAATCCCTGTATGTGCATTTAGTTTTGACCACACTGCTTTAATAGAAGTGTTTGTGATCTCACATGTGGCTTTAATGTAAACCTGAACATTTAGCTCAATACATAGAAAACAGTGATAAACATCATGTATGGATATTCTGCCTAAAAATACAGATATATCACCCAGGCCTAGATGCATGTACATGTTTATATGTATATATACACACAATGTGTTTATGTATACATACTGCACATATCAAACTTAATCCATGCACAGCTCAGTTAAGGCTAGGAAATTAGCTCAAGTTGGTTCACAAGGACCAGGGGACTGATGTGCTGATGCTGAAGATGTGAGAGGAACATGTACAGGTGTGATAATACACAAAACCCAAGCAGACACAATCAACATTAACAATTTTATTTTTAAGTTTTAATGAAAAGCGAACAGCAGTAGAGTAATACAATTCCATTTGAGTAATGCAAATTTACAGTGCAAACAGAACTACAAAGTTAAATATTCTATACACGTCATAACATTAAAGTTATTTATTTATGGTTAAATACAGTTTAAAAAATAAATCAGAGGTATTGAAACAAACACAGGGGCTGCTACACAATGCATTTTTGTAAGTTGGTTTGTTCACTGAATGCTCTAGCAGTAAGACTGTGCTGCGTGCACATGCCGAACCAGGGGGCGGTAGAGAGCATGCATGCAGGTGGAAATGGGGAGAAAAAATAAACACTTCATATCCATCTGTGTTTAGAAGGGTTACAGGTCAGTGTTGAGAGCATTCAGACCGGCACAAATTCCAGCAACACACAGCATGCTTCAGAATGCCAGAAATGTGACAAGCCCCTTCTGAAGGTACTACTGGTTTTAATCCAAAGTAGCTCCGAAGTCTACAGTATGATCGATAAACAGAAGGGACAGTACAATTAGTTAAGCAGGTATTGTTCTATTGTTTACACATACTAAAACAAACCAAGTAATTTTCACATTTCACACTAGACGATTTATTGTAAAACTAAAAAGAAAAAAAAGCTTCAATGTATACACCCAGGATTCTTAATGTTCCTTTTTGTACAGGAAAGAAAACGTCTCCTTTTCCTCTTTAAAGATGAATAAATGCAGTGAAGTTCCATGTTTGTTTGTGTGTACATGCCGCGTGTCTCCCCAGAATTTGGCTCGAACCTGTGCATTAATCGGTTAAACTCATCCGCAGGGCATGAGGGACAGAACATCGCAAACGCCTGTGCATTTACAGCTACAGTTTAAAGCAGAGGTGACCACTGGAGGAGGGCGGAGTGTCTATCTGATCAGAGCTGTCCTCCTGGCCATTTTCAGCTGTGTGAAACAGCATTTTTAAGTGTGTGGTGGCACAGGGGAGACCCAGGGCACCTATAGAAAAGGACCATTCCAGGAAGCAGGCCTGAGAGCTACAGGGGCCCCGCTTCCCATTTTTCCCTCTGATAAATACTGGCCGGCCTAGGGCTTCATATAAACTGAGAATTAAAGGGTCTAGCTGTGCCAATCTGAAAACTAGGCTTTTAAGAGGGGATAAAACACAGATGGACCGATTCAAAGCACCCTGACAAGGAACGTGCATGATAGTGAGCTATTATTCGAGCAGGACATCAGAATTTAGTGCCAATATGCCTGCAGCCCACCAAATGAGGCTTTAAGGTTAAGTGGGGTCAAAAAAGCACACCATGAAAGACGTTCACATTCAGTTGCTTGGGCCTCCTCTTTGCTCCGCCCAGAAGGATGTGTAGGGAGGAGAGGGGTCCGTCACTCACGGCTGCGACCCACTATGGCCAGGATGTACAGGAAGATGTTGATGATGTCAGTGTAGAGGCTAAGGGCAGCGAAGATGTACTCCTCCGGACTCAGAGCCAGCTTCTTGTTGCCCAGGAGAAGCTGGGTATCCACAGCCAAGAACTGGAAGCGCAAAAACAAGATCAGTCAGCACCTCTCATACTTAGGCTTTCTGCTGTCGTTCTCTCCATCATAACTGGCGTCAACTCTGTCATTTTCTGTCTCGTTGCAAAATTATACAACGACCACACAAAGTCTCACTGGCCTCAATAGCATCCAAACAAGTCTTTACTCCTGCTGTTCCATTACATCATCTTTCAGTTTTGTTAGACTTTTCCATACATGGTGCTTTATATTGCATCTACATCATCTGAAGAATGAACCTAACCTCCTCAGAGTTACTGTGTCCTGTGGGTATCTCTTTCACCACTAAACATAAGGTCTCCATCTCACCCTCCTTCCCTGCTCCATCTCCCCGTCCAGCATCCTCACCTCTCTGCTAGTGCATCAGTATTTCCAGCCTGAATTTCCATGACTCCTCCAGCTGGCATGTTCTGCTGACCAGGCCAAAGCTCCAACCCTTTATTCCAAGTATCACCCGTGCCCCGAGTCCCAGCTGACTGCCTCACTCTCTCCATGCTTTCTCAGCCAATTCCACTAAATCTCAAGGCAATTTTCTGGCCTTGGGTTTAAGGACACTGCTGTGAGGCACCTTTGGAACGTGCTACGAGGAAACTCTTAAGTGCTTTGAATATTTTTTTCCCATCATGCCCCCCCCCCAGAACTGTAGATTAAATGAGCCCAGTTTCCATGGATTGCCAAAGCAGACTGGCTTTCCTACCGGCTCCCTGAAACCTCTCAGCAGAGCTGGAAAACTGGGCTGCCACCAGCAGACGGGAGAGAGCGTGCTCAGATGTCCAGATCAACTGGACGTCGCTCCTGTGCCCACAGAAGCACAGTACTGAAAGAAAACAGACCTAAAGGCCCACGGGCTGCGTAGAACCAAGGCTGACTTACGCAGGTGAAGAGCAGGGCCCCCAGCGAGGCGTAGACGATGTGCAGGATCTTGTGGCGGATGAAGATGCAGAGGATGGAGAAGATCATGAGGACGATGAGGCAGACGAAGAGCACGCCCCGGCAGGAGGTGAAGTCATACTTAGTCTGTGTCAAGGGAGCCAGAAGAAATGATAATTAAAAATCTTACATAATTAAATGACTTCAGTCATCTGACATACACTGTCCATTTTACTTTCAAATTCATAACCAAATTGTTTAAACGTCATGCAAATTTTCAAAACATCTACAACAGGGTATATACAGAAATCCTGAAGTTACATTTAATACCTTTATTAATACTTTCTCAATAATTCTTTTAAAACCAACACAACATTGAGTTGCAACTGTTTTAACTGGCAGTCTTTCTTGAACACATCTTGCATTTTTTTTAACTTGTTGAATAAAAAATAGATATAAAATTATATATATATTATATAAAATGGCCAATAAAAGAATAAAAGTTCTAACAAACTGGCATTCACTACCTGAACTGGTGATGCCATTACAACCAGTAAATGGACTTGAACCTCTGACAGCAATGTAATACCATGGTAAGTGCCTTAATCTGACGTTGTACCCGGTTTTTTCTTTTCCACACCTAGCGATGTCAGAATCGGGAAATATTGCTTTAAACAGCTCTCCAGTTCCTTCGTTAGAGTTTAACGAGTGCTGTTTATCAGCGGTCTCTAGACTCCACTGAACCTCAGCGTGCAGCCCATAGTCACCCGGAGATCAGCCGTCTATGTAGCTCCGCGTCCATGCATTCCAGATTTATGGCAAGTGCATTGAGTATGCAACCAGAGAGCGTTAACATCCATCTAAGTGATTATTTTATTTTTTTAACAAACCAAACAGTACGCCTCCTGGTTATTGCCCACTACAGGCATGAGCCAGGGTCCTCTAGAGAGTGAGAATTTGTGTTTGAGGAGTTTCACAAGCCAGCTAGTATCCAGTTCAGCGGGCGCAAAATGGCTGACACGTCGAATGGCCATTGAATATGATGTCAGCATCATAGATATAGATTAACTAGAATGAATGAGCCTAATCTCACATTTAAATAAACTTACGCAAACTTTAGCAGATAAACTTTTAAACACAAATGGACTCATTTGGAAAAAGAAATCTAAAATTTAATACCTCATAAAATTGTATTTAATGCCTTTTAATGGCCTTAATTTTTACTAATTTGATTTACTATCTTTTATTACTTTATAAAGCCCGACGGACACACTGTACAATTCTATTAGTGCATGTAAAGTCGGAAAGGATAAAATTCAACATAAAAACAACACAAGCAAAGGACTATATAATATATAAAAATAATCTTCAGTTCAAAGGGATCATGGCCTCCTGGGAAGTTCAAAGTTCATTGCTGTTCCGAAACACGTGTCCTCACTACACACTGACATCCAAAAGGGCACACAGAAAGACCTGCTGACTACTGACCTGCAGCGAAAAGAGCACCACGGTGAAGCACACGACCACGGTGATGCCCACGGCCATGATGACGGAATCTGTGTTGTAGAAGCTGGCGATCATGCCCACCATGTAGGACAGGCTCAAGGTGAGGATGGACTGGGGGTGGAGACACAGACAGCAGTCAGCCGTACACACTTACAACCCCGGATATCAGAGAAATACATGCCAGAAACCCATCCATCAGTAACGGAAGAAAATACAGCAGTTTTGGACCATACCAAAGCAACCAAGTTCCAGGGGTGTTTGCGGCGGAATTCCCCACAGCAGCTGAGCACAATGAGGGACACAAAGAAGACGGCGTAGGACACATAGTAGGTCCAGCTGTTTCCGCGCACGAACATTTTGACATCCTCCACAAAAGTGAAAACTGCCACGAAGGAGAAGGTCACAATCAGCTGAACAGTCAGCACCAAGAAGACCTGTGTGGACAAACATCATGAACCAAGGACATCAGGGAAGCTCCTCACATGTGCAAAGAAGATTTAAAGAGTATTTGTGAACTCCTGACACTGCTTGCTTCATAGCTTACCTTGCGAATGAAAGCCTGCCGGATGGACTTATCCTCCCATTTAGAGTCAGTGAACTCCTCGTTGTCATAGTAAGATGGTGGCACATCACCATGGTAACCCGGACTATTCAGGGGATCTGGGTCAACACCAAAACAAGACAAGCCAACAAATTATCTTTAGTGGTAAAATACAAGGAACCAAATTGAGTTATGTAGTTTTTATTATATATTCCATTTTAGATCACTGCTTTCTTTGGAATATGCGCCAAAGAGATGATTAACTGCCCTAGAACCATCTGCAAATACACCAGTATTAAAGAGCAACCCTCTTTACTTTATCGTTCAACATTAGAGGGAAGCTCAACAAGCTGTTGATAAAACAAAGGCTAATTAGGAACTCATCAGATATGGAGATAATATACCCTATAGCTTGCAAAAACATTATGACTTATAAACCATACAGTTTTGTATACTATTATACTGCCCTCCATTGATACACTGTAAGTAACTGTACCCCTGGAGACCGGGGACACTCACCATCGGGGTCTACTCCGTAGCCAGGTTGAGGAGGACCCTGCTGATAAGGATACCCTGTCTGAGGAAATCCTGCCTGAGGGTAAGGACCCTGAGGGTAAGGTCCTTGAGGGTATGGACCCTGTGGGGCCTGAGGGTAGGGCATTTGCGGATAGGGTGCTTGTCCAAATCCAGGCATTCCCTGGGCAAAGTTGGGCTGCCCAAAAGCAGCAGGCTGGGGGAACGGGGGCCCTCCTGGGTTCTGTGAGTAGTTGGGAGGGGGCATTGCAAATCCAGCGGGGTTGGGCTGGCCAAAGACAGAGTTATGAAGGGGATTGTCCTCCCCTGCAATGGGGTAACCACTCTTGTTCTGGGACATGGTTCTATAGGATGATCACCAGTCCGTATGCTGTGGAAAGGCAAGACCAACGTATTAGCACAAAAGCTGACGAAGCCACGTCCATCCTCTGGCCTATTTACACTGCTATGTCAAGACTTATCAAAAATGTCTTACTGGTAAACAAAGCATACAGCAAAATTCATAATGGTATAGAATTGTGTTTATTCCATGCATCCATTTCCTGTAAGTAATTTTACATTACATCAGACCTGTAGCCTTTCACAGGGCACAAAGTGGAAGACAAGTGGGTGCTAGTTGCAAGCAATGTAAATTCAGCCAAATTAACCAACTGAAATCATATTTTTGTGCGAAAGGAGGAACCTAGTTTACCCACAGGATACCCATGCACTCCACAGAGCCAGAGCAGGAAGTGTGAGGGTACAGTACACCATTCCACCATGTTCTACCCCAGTACTTAGGTGGCTGGTTTAAAATTAAAACTGAAATTAGATCACCAACCTAATGTTTGCAGCACTTAAAATATTTATAAAGCTGGGTATTTTAGTTGAGTACTTTAGGGAAGGTAACATGCTAAATAGAGATGCACCGATATCGATATTCGGATCTGTATCGGCGCCGATCCATACCTAATTGACGGATCGGGCATCGGCCATGCGTGACCGATCCACGTCCTATACTTACTTATTTCGTTTTTGGCAATCAGTCGCACGACAGCTCTTTCCCATTTTAAATGTGTTTTTTTGCGGCATTCAAATCGAACGCTATCGCTGCCCCTCAGTCTTTTTTTGCTACTCAGTTGGTGTGAGTACAGTGACTTCCGCCTGCTGTGACGTCATGCGCATACCCTTCGCAGTACGAGGAGCGTAAGATAAGACGTGACGATCTAGGGGTATTTTACGCTTTTAACAGAAACCAGTAGCACAGCGATTTGCAATCTATGTAAAATAAAGTTTTAAGGTGGGAATAGCGTTTAATGGACAATGTCATTTAACAAAGCGCACGCAACTGCGAGACAAAACAAAGCCAGTGAACAAAAGTCACTAACTTAATTGGACTGTTTTGCGAACTCACTGCAGCTTGTGATACAAGAGGGGCTGCCATCGCAACAAAAGTGTAACTGCGCTGACACCAATGGGAGAAAAACTGTTCAAATTTTAAGCATTCGCAACTTGCGTATACTTGCTTTGAAGATATTCATATTGAACTGAAAATGTCTCAAAAACGCTTAAAACAAACGAGGTGGAACAGTACGTTATGTATGTTTGCAGTAGCCTAATTAAATATTTTTGCCATACATTTTTTCTATCTGTATTTACTAGTTTAAAAAAATTAATATACAAAGTATAACAAAGTAAAAAGAGCTCTTGTATCGGAATCTGAATCGGAACAGAAAAAATGTGGATCGCCCATCTCTAATGCTAAAGGCCAGTCTTGGGACTTGAACATTCAGCCTATTAGTTCACATCCTTGACCATTCCGTTTGATTTTGTTCCCAGTTCACAACTACATCGCATAGACATGCTTTTCGTGGGAATTGGCAACCATAAATACCCTTGGTGTCAAACAGAGTATGAGAAAACCCAGTATCCCCTTCAGGGAGTTTCCTGCTTATCGCATCATGCCTCAGAACGACGACTCTGACTCACTGCACCATGCACTGGATAAGTGCTTACTGGAATGTAATGAGGCATGAAAATGGGAGGACAGGGGTGAAATTTAGGATAAAATTCTGATACAAAATTGTATGTACTATAAATATTAATATAATGTATTCATATGATTATTATAATATTAGGAAATACTAATATTATGGTGAAGAGATCTTCCTATAGGAACAATTAGCATTATACATGTTACATTTCTACAAACTTCAGGCAGCCAGTAGCTGTGTATCATCAATTAAAGGAAAATGTACGGAGTCATGTATGGGCACATCTAGATTATATTTCCATTACAAGGTTCTGTGTATGGGGGTAGGGGGAATAAATGAAACAGTAAGTCAAACAGGAGAGCTAAGGGCAATTGTAATCTACAATGTGCAGTGCGTGCATGTGTGATTGTATTCTACGATGTGCAGATCCGTATTGCCAAGCTAACAGGCAGATATAATGAGCATGCCCGGGCCTAACCAGTGACATCATTAAAGTTGTTTACACCCTACCTATTGCAGAAATTCCCACCATGGGACCCACAATGCTTTGCTATTCTGCATCTACAGTGTTGTCACAGTAGTTTTTGGAGATCTACGCAGGAATACTCTTATGGTTATAAAAATCAAGAACCTAAACAGTTCAGTGGACCGTATACTACCGGTATTTTAATGACACCAATTAGTCTAACTACATAGTATGTTGTGAACTCTATATGCACCTTACTGCAATATACCACTGTGACACTTTGATACTATCAACTTATTGCCGTGATCCACTAATACCTTATGTTACCTGTGTTAGTGTTTCGTAGTTTGTATATACTGTACAGTTTGTGTTGTTATAATGTTGCACTCTACGCTGACTGTTTATTGCATTGTTACACCACATGGTTATTGCTGCCTGTTATAGTCTGCAAGAAGGCATTCAAGCAAGAATTTCATTGTACTTTGTACCTGTACACTGTACATATGACAGAGCTTTGAATCCTTGAATGAATGTCTTTAGGATCGTAGGAAACTAGAGTAAACCTGGATGATATAAGAACATGCCAACACTGTTATTCTCCGCAGTCATTAATTGTCAATAACAAAAATCATTAAGTATTTCAAAGAAAAGTCCCAGGGCCTTTCTAAGAAAGGTTAATGACACAGGTAATTCTATAATGCCAAGCCCTCGGGTTGTAAATGCTGAATATTTTATTCAAATGTCATAGGCATGAAGGATGTGACTAATGCATGTGAGAAATGACCTTCACAAAATCTTGTTCAGTTGACAGGTATGCAAAATATTTTCCATGTAAGTTATAAAGTGTAGACATAAATTTCATAAACATTTCACACAACCAGAATGTTAAATTCTCAATCGGCCACACTCCTTTCTGACATCAGATGCAAAACTCAATGTGTTCCAGGCACCATTTGAATGATGTACTGAACCTAGAAATAATGATTAAAAGGTCAAGGCACATCCAGGGGTTTGTTTAGACCACATTCTTAACTACCTTTGCTGACAACAGATTTCAAAAGTGACTTTTAAGCAATATTTAAGATTTCAGTGCTAACAAAACTAACCTTTATCACCATTTGATATTCTGGTATTTACCTTTATTAGCAATTTATACAAAAAAAATAAAAACATGTAAAAGAGATAATGACTGCATTAAAATCCAGAATCTACTATTAGACTCAACTCCAAATCAGTTATTACAATTATCAAAGGTGTTTTATTTGACGATATGTTTAGCACATTGACGGCACCCTTTAAACACCAAGTGAATGAAAATTCTATTATTCCAACATTTAATGAAAACTGAAATTCCCTCAGTCAAATATCTGCACCAAAGTCTGAAAGCAGATTAAAAGTCCTCTTAGAAGAGATGACTAAAGGAATTATGCCCTTAGATATGAGCCCTGAACAGATTAGAAAGGGACTTTCCCCCAACAGCCCAATCACGTAACACTGACGTCTGTATGAAAGCTGTCCATTGGAAATCAGGCATGCATCATTAGATAAATACTGACAGGCAGGCACAGCCTCCCTCGGTGCCGGTGAGCTCTAAGCACCTGAGATGACAGTCAGAAGAGCTGATCAGCCTCAATATGGTGCCCTGCCAGAATTTTAGTAAAGTAAGGATGTAATCTGACACAACTGACAAAAAGGACACATTTTAAATACAGTGGAAACCGCTTACAGTGATCAGTTTTATATACATATGGAATTTTTTATATTTAATTTTTAAATTTTATTTGTTTGATAGCTCTGCTTTCCCTCGTGGTAAACCATCTGCTGCAGGCTAGCTACCTAAGGCTAATGCATGCATAGAAAATTTGACGGGAAAAAGAAAGTAATTTTCACTCAGTCACAAATACAGACGCACCAAAGCTTATAAAAAAACTGCCAAAAACAAGCCACTGAGATGCAGCAGCAAAACTATAACAGGCTATATTTTTTTCTACAGTACTGGACTGTATTGCAGCATATTTTAATTATACACAATTCAGTAATTTAATCTGTACAGTACAGTAATTTGAAAAGCATTTGGAACAGCTGTACTGTATTTTGAAAGAGTCAGTAAAATTCACTAAATAGCTACGCTGTCTATTTTATTACCTTTATTTATTAATGTAATAAATATACAAATGTCAATTAGATGGTAATCTGCCTGAGACAAAGAAAAAGAAAAAAAATGGTTATAATGATCATCCATTACAGTGATCAATTTTGCCCAGGCAGACGTGATCACTATAAGTGGTTTCCACTGCATTACAATAAATTTTAAAAACAACTTAAATACATCATAAGGCATCTGTGACCTTGAGACACCAGGAAGTACAATTTTCCAGCTAATAGAAAGAAAAAGTATAAGCTATGACACCTATAAGTGAAAGCGGAGCCAATTCAGAAAACAAAGGTTCTTTCCCTGAGGATGTATTTATATAAATGCTGTGCTACAGCAAAAAAAAAAAAAAAGGCCTATGAAACATTCCAGAGAGTCGTCAGCAAATTTTAGCCCAGCTCTGCTAGTCAAGCATGACAAGCCAATCACACTTGACTGCCCAATCAAGTAGAAAAGGCAGCCATGTCAATATAGTCTAAGACTTTCACTTGCTCTCTATGACACAGAATGGATTTCATTTCATGGTTATGATTCTGTTCAAAATGCAGACATGCAGCTAGATTCACCAGTGTTTTCCCTACCATTATATTAGGGGGGCGCTCCGCTCCGCCCCCCCCCCCCCCTCCCCTCCCCTTGAAGGTCAAGTTAATTTAATTTAAATGACTTCTGTTGTGATCTGGCGCTATATAGAAAATTTTATTAAAGTTACCTTTCCTATACAACAGGTATATACATTGTCCTTTTATTCAATAAATTAAATAGCTGCCTGTTATCTTATATACACAACAGCTTGTCATTTTTGTCTCTACAGGGTCACGCGTTTACAATCCTCCTCTGGAGTTCCGCCCCGATGCGCGCGCACACACAGGTGAGCGCACTCCCACCAGCGGACAGAGAGCGCGCATCGGAAAATATGTCGCGTCAAACACCTGAAAAGCAGACAAAAATATCTTTTTTTTTTTAAAGTCCAGAAAGATACACTGCAGTGACAAAAGCTGCACACTTTGTGGATAATTGTCATAAAAGAAAATGTTCTGATGTTTAGTTCAGTTGTTATATTGACTGCCGTCATTAAAAGAAGCACATGAACACCATGAATTCTGTCGGTATCCGTCTGCCCCCCCCACAGCTGTATACCTAGGGGAAACACTGTTCACTTTACATACATACAAACCTATGCACCTTTGCTAACTTGCTTTTTGGTTTTTGCATTATTAAGGATCCCAATCTTGCAAAAGGAAAGAAAAGGCATTAAGTTCTTTACATGGATGTTATGTGAATTTGGTAATCCCTTTATGAGCGTGGCGAGTTGTAGAAAGCCGTACTGCTGAGCTAGACACCTTGAGAACGCTGGTAACAGATGGTCTGCTCCAACTCGCACTACCATTAAGATGAGTCAGTGATCTACAGTGACTGCAACACAAAACTTACTACTGGTGGTTTGTATACCAACAACTTAACTGCACTTCCAAGACATATACGTAGATGCACATACATCCAAATATCTGCTGTGCAGCCAGATAAACGCAATCTTCTATACATACAAAATTTTCAACATCCGGACATGCATTCCACATCTCATTCAGGACCAGAGAATATTTTACACTGAGATTCTGACACCTTTGCAAAAAGTCAATGCGGGATTGTGAAAACGTCTATCAAGCAAAGAGCACATTTCACAGATTAGCTGCCAAGTCAAACAAGGACAGAGTCTTCTAGAAAAACCAATGAAGACATTTACTGAAATACTCTATTCCAATTTACAGGAAACTTCAGCCAAAACATGTAAATAACCAGGAACAACTCCCACAGTCCTGTAGAACCCAACACCAGAATCTTAAGGGGAGATTTACTGCCTGAATTAAGGAATGCAGACTGACAGACCAAAAAATGCACAGAGATGCGCATTATGGCTACATTCATTGTAGGTGCAGGCATACAATATAAAAAACAGTAACAGCTGCAGGCTGGACGACAGATGTTCACATTTTAACCACATGATCACAATCATTCTCACATAAGCAACGGAAAGCAGAACCAGCCATGATGCATGAACTCGCATAGAGAAAACGTTTTCTCAAGCAATTTTTACTGCTGCGAAGTTACTCCATGTGTACACTTAATTATAAACTGTCTTCGCTTAGCAAGCTCAAGGTTTACGGATTTAAGAGAAAAACACGTAGTTGTAATTTAATAAATACGGTGTTATCCAATATGCTTGCGTGCAACCTAACGGGCTCTCCAATAACTGACGCCACAAGTGGTAGATACTAGATGTACATAAATGCGACGCAGAGAATTAACAGCGTGTGCATATTGAGAAATACTGTATAATTAATCCTTAATTTACAGGCACGAATATGTACCGTGCATAGCTGTTTCCCGCTGCAGTAGGGAAGCCCCATCCTGCTGTGCGCCATCTAATCCTAGGATGAAACCATGAACACGGGATATATAAATAAACAAAAACAGTGTGCTCACGATGGATAATTTAAAAGATAATATCAAATGTCATGCCGTTTTGAACTATGCCACAGATATGATGCGATGCGACGCGCTCGCACCGTCCGTCTACAGACGCAGGTAGAGCAACACTGCGGCGCGTCGCCGCCATCCGCTTGGAAAACGACAAATCCTCAGGCTGACATCGATATAGATGGCGTTTCCCGCACCCAGAAGGGAGAAGGTGATCCTGGGCGGCCTACTGGCTGCGGCTGTTGTTTGGTACTGATAAAATAGGAATGCAGAATCGTGGCGCACCAACACACGGCAAACAATCGCAGCAGCGACGCGCACCGCAACATCAGATAAACACCGTTATTATTATTATTATTATTAGTAGTAGTAGTAGTAGTAGTAGTAGCAGCAGTATTTATGCATACAGGCCAGAAATAAATATACCCCACATAAACCCCTGTATCCGTTACAGGATCGCGGTGGCCATCCGGAATTTTCTAACTGCATCACTTGCATCCATCTATGGCCAAAAAGACGAACAATCCATTTCACCCACGACACGTTAAACTTTAACAAGGACAGTGGCCTTATGCGACTAGCTAACACACCCGCCCCTACCTGCCGGGTCGAGATACCCGAGATTTAATCCAATTTCAGAAGAAACGGCTGCCGTGAGCAAAGAAAACAACGGAGAACAACAGACGGTGACGGGTCGCCGACCGGGGGCTCCGGCCTCGAACCTCAGTACCTGGTGACGTTTAGCTTCAGCTGCTTTCCATGTCTGAGTCAGCCCGATAACACCGTACGTCGTTCGAGAAATGTATAATAAGCAGAAGTGCCACTCGCCCCCCACCCTGTAACAATAGGCCGGTCCGTGAGCTTAAAAATAAAAGGCAGACCAACCTTTGTCTCACAGTTTCATGGAAATTCCAGTTATTTCTTCGGTCTCTGGTTATCCAGTAGCCGCCTCCTGCCGACCACTAGCGTACCCGACTGCCGACTCTGCGTCAGCCGCAAGCTGGCGCGTCACGCGACGGGCGATAGGGTGCACAGGAAGAGGGGGGGGGTTGGGGTCCGCTGTTAGACCAGCTGATTATTAATTCCCTTAGTTTACTTGAGTATATCTAAGTGCGAAAAATCCCTGAAATGTCACTTATACATCACTTAAAAATCTGACCAGAGCAGACCGTAATATAAACTTAGTAACTAATCCACTCACGGATATGTATATTAATGTCTTGAGTCTTGAACACTGCATATATGTTCCAGAAATTTCCAGTTCAATCTCTTGTATCCAATGCTTAATCTGGGTTGCATAGTTCACGAGAAATAAATAAAACGTCGTATTTAGGCGCTAGATAGTGGATTGTAATATATATATATATATATATACACACATACATATATACATATATACATATATATATACATACATACAGTGCTTGAAGTGGGGAAAAACAGGAACTCTAATTTTTTCGGGCCACTGTCGCTGCGTCGGATCAGTTTCAGTAAGTACCGGAACGCAGAAAGAAGTGGCGGAACCCAAAAGACGAAAATACAGAAGTTCCGGAACTGGGTTCCGGCCCACTTCAACCACTGTGTGTGTGTGTGTGTGTGTGTGTGTGTGTGTATAAATGATTTTAAAACCCACCAGCAGGCTTTCTTCTGCATTTTCAAACAAGTTTTAATTCTCCTGGGGCATGGTCCATGTTGGAGCGCTTTATCACATTAACAACAGTTCTCACATTGCCAAAACAGGATAAGTTACTGTAAAATAACAGAAAATGGAAATGACAAGTCATCAGACCCGCTGATAGAAACAAGTGATAGGAAGTTAGGTTCAATTTACAGAACCGATTCAATCGAACGTTCGATTCAAATAATCGGTTATGGGGGGCACTACTTGCTTCCGCACTTTGTTCAATTACCTTTATTGAGACTATAATAATAATAAGTAATAATAATAAGCATGCTGTATAGCTTTTTAAATACAATTACCGTCCAAAAGCCTGATAAAATCGCAGGTTGTCTCAAATGCTTCAATTAAAGGATTAAAACAATACGAAAACCAAAATCGTATATCGTACCTTTAGTTTAATATGTAGAATGCGTAGGCTTTAAAACTATATTATATTTGCCTCAGCAAACGCTGTTCGCAAGGGCTCTAACCAAGGGGATACGTTTCCCAAAAGCATATAGTTGCTAAGAACGTTAGCATCTTACATAGCTGGAGCCATGCAACTGAACCATTCCAGCTAAGCTGCTAACGGGAGATTTTGGGAAACGTATCCCGATTCTTTGAGATCTTAACTTTCGAGCAGCCTTTCAGTACCATCTGAATAGGTAACTCGGTGAGTTTCGGGTCTTAGGAGTCTCGCCGAGTAACCGGTTCAGCCAAACTACTGAGTAATGTTGTCGATTCATGAGCAATTCGTTCTTATGAACCGGCTTTCAGTAATTCGGTCGATCTTAGCGAACGAGGAGTTAGAGACGCAGCACAAACCCAACAGATTACGGTATGCGGAAGGGGTATAAATTCCGATATTTAAAATATTCAGATATTTAAAAAATGTAATACTTTGACATTTAAAACTATTTTTTTATTTAAATTGGCTTAGATTTGATAATCGCTTCGACTGATTCATTGAAAAGAACCGGTTCCAAACAACGATTCGTTCACGAATCGACTAGAGACCCTTTGTTCTGTGAAAACAACACGGCGTATTTTTTTTTCTTTTTTCAAAACCTGTTGTTTGACTTAAACGTGATTAATGACATCCGAAGGGTGACGGTCTAAATGCATTTAAACGTAAAGTGTGCGGTTCTTAAGTAGCCTGCACATGAATAAGAAATGAACATTATTAATTTTTTCCTAATAAAGAAGTAGAGGTGATCTTGTGTTTAAACAGAATACGAATGTGTGAGAGAGGACCACGGCCCGCATGTTTCAAATTAGCCTGTGACCAACAATTCGTTGCAGCGCCTTCCTGTTCCCTTTTCAGACTAATGGGGACCGACTGCAACTACCTGTCCTGACTTTTCATAATAGACCTGCAGCTGTGCTCCTTAACTCGTGCAATTCAAAATATAATACCCCGAGCAAATCCACAATTATTAGTTCTTTTTATAGGCCTACCTGTTGCTCTGATTTTTCTGTAGTTATTTGAAACTTCAAGTTATATTGAGATTTTATCTAACATTTAGATAAAATAGTTGTAATGATCCAATGTCCGTTGCATTAAAGCTATATAACATTTCAGGTTTTAACGAATTATAAAACGAGTTTTGTTTTAATATTACGTAAATGACCATATCGGGAAAAACAGAAAGAACATTTTTTTTTTTTAAGTGCTGGGATGGTAAATAAAACACCCCACAACTGTGACGTCATCTTACAGGCCCAATTGTCCTCTTTAAGGAACATCTCTTAAGAGTGGCATGTTTATAAGAGATATGAGCAAAAACATTGAGAATAGTCTGATTTTAAAATGTATTTTAAATTGCTTTGGCAAACAAGATCTATTTCTTTGATATAGTGTTTGGGGATGACGAAATGTAATGTAGTGTTGTAGCATCTGGTCTGAGTGTGACCCTGTGAAGGGGCTCTGCTCTTTATCCCCCTTCTTGGTTGCAGAGAACATCCACAGTGGTGTTCTCTTCTTAGTAGGCTTCACTCTGCAGTTCTGCATCTTGTGATGAGTTCCTGCCCTTCCAGCTTTGATTGTCGTCCTCTCCAGTTCTCTCAGCTTTCTTTGTAGCCTCTCCATACCTTCCCTTCTACCCTTTCGATGCTCACTGGGTCTGCCGGTTCCTCAGCAGGTTGTCCAGTTCACTTTTGTTGATGGTGCCGTACGCCTGGGAATAGCTCCCCAGTTTAGCCCGGGGGTCTCCCGATGCCCCTACGTTGGACTGGCTCTGGAAGACTTTCTTACTGAACCTGGGAGGTGGCCGCACGTCTCGTGACTGGGCTGGCCATCTCTGGTTCTGTCCCGAAATACGACGAGAAATGCATGCGTTAGGGAGCCGTTCAGGGGGAACTTGGCGGCGAGGACCGACGCGATTGGCGCATACCAGGCGGGCAGAGGTGACTGTGATGCCAGACACAGCGGGCTCGTCCCTTCTCAGCAGCGGGTTGAGCTGGGGTCGTGTGAGCGTCAGGGAGAAAGAGCGCGTGCGGGACACGGGGGGGGAGCCACCGCGTTGCCATGGATCTGGGGCGACAGAGGGCTGGGGAAATGGCGGGGTGGAAGGTGTAATGCAAGCTGATGAATTCTTCAGTGTACCGCTCTTTCTACTAATAAATGAAAAAACAGTATAACAGTTTTCATTACTCAATGAAAGATGATAGCTCAAACATTTACTTAAGCACATAATGAATAAATACAACATTCATTTTGTATATGTTTCACAATTATATATATAAAGGGCAGTTAATAAGATAGAATGTAGCATCCTATAAATATCAACATTACAGTTAATCCAGAATCAACCAAACGATAAAAGTGATTAAGAATTGAGGTGGTGGTGAAACCCGGGACCCCCCACATCAGCACGGGGGGCAGCTACTCAGCCCGGTATGAGTGACAGACTCTCCTGGGACCAAAGTGGATAACCAGGGGGGAGATCTAGTAAGAGGAGGGTCCCCTGTGACATCCAAAGTCACATGGTCAGGAATCAAGAACTTCAGGATATGTGCAGGATGACATCTGGAAAACGTGCCATTATATATTGTGCTTGGAGAGACTTGGGTCCAGAATTAATCCACACAGCCAATCGAAACACTGCTTATATTCTAATGACATTCTTAGTAGGAGGAAATTCTACACGGTAACCTTCCTGTAAATGTAAAGAAAATGGAAATATTGTGTTCGACCTCTATAGCAATTCGACTTTTAAACATGGGCTAAAATGATAGCATTACTGCAATTAAAAGGTATACATGAGAGAGTATGTGTGTGCATTTTTCACATTATTATTTTATGACAGGTGGGTTTGTATACAGCCCTTACCACTACACTCCATTAAACACAATAGTATGCAATCACAATACTTGAAATTAAACGGCAGCTGCTTAACCTGGTAACTGCATGCAAAAGTGCTAAACTCAGGTTTGAAACAAACAAAAAAAGCCGGACTCACTGCGCTGCCGTTGGCGCCCTCTGTTGGTCGCGTGATTATACTCTCCTGATATTTCTGTTCCGCAGGTGGTTTGCTGGCGGTCACAGTTCGTTGGTGGCAGGGCTGCATTGGTATGTTGGAGACTGGCTTGATCACACCATCTAAAGAGCAATAACAAGGAGTAAGGAGAAAATTAAAAGGTCACCTGATATGATCACAGAAAACAACATGCGGATCATTCCAGAATAACTTGACATAAACAGTATTAATTTGAAAACAGAACTTACTTCCTCTTTACTACTAAAGTTACCACTCAGAGAAGTTATGATCTGAATGTACCCCTACCGTTCCAGATATGTAATCAGTTCAAAATAAGAATATAAGAATTCTGCCAAATGAAGTGTGTGTGTGTGTGTGTGATTGGCTGGTGTGTAAAAGCCCAATTATCATGACAGTATGTGCGAGGATCAGGTGTCCCTGGTCACAAAGGGACTGTCTGTTTAAAAGGCTTTGCTTGTCTTCTGTTTCAGGCAGCTTTTGACACCTCATTCATTAGTCAGCAATATTTCATCAGAGCAATTTATATTTTAACCATTTATACAAACAGATATCGAACTGGGGCAGTTTAGCTACAAGTAACACAGTCAAGGGTTCAATACTATGAGCCAGTTCATACATTCTCCCCTCTACATGTCTAATGTGACTGACTGGTGTTTTGATGTGGTTGCTGCCCCGTGCTGTGTGGACGTCCTCTGAGGGTGACGTACGGGGCAGTGTGAAGGTGAGAAGGTGATACTCACTGGGGATGTGCGTTATCGGGTTGTAGGTGGTCTTGCTTGCTTCGGGGCTGACCGTGGGGCTCGTCCTCTCTTTGGCAGGTTGGGATTTGGGCGGTTCCTTCTGCCTTTCCTGCACCTTGCTTTGCCTGGTTGCCCCCTCACCTTGGGCCCTGAAGTCACCACCTGCTCTGGACTCCTCTTTCTCCTTCTGCTGGGCCTGGTGCTGCATGCGAAGGCTGGTTCTCCGCTCCAGGATCATCTGACACATAGAAGCAGGTCAGTACTCTTATCCAGCAGGGCCAAATCCATCCCCCAGTCTGTGTTTGACACTTGCCAGCTACTTTGATGTACAGAAGGTACCATCACGCCCAGATAACACCAGCTCCAAATCACAATGCACACACTGCGCTCTAGTCAGCGTACATCATATAACTTATTGCGGTACTGTGTCACAGAGAGCTGGACGTCATCATCCACCGGCAAGACCACATCGTAGTCCAGACCTGGCTCCTTGGCTGGGTTGTGGAACCTGCAGGGGTACAGAGAAAGAACAGGAGGAAAGGACCCATGAGGATCTCTCAGGACCACTGAGAAGACACCTGCGCTCCACAACAGCACACGAAGCTAGCAGGTGATACATCTGACTCAGCAGACAGAGATAATCCACAGCACTGAGAAAGTCATCAGTAAGACACGAGTCAATACACCCATCTATCTATCCATTTTCTGCACCCGTCCTATTCAGGGTCATGGCGGCCCGGAGTCTATCCCAGAAGCTATGGGCACATGAGTAAATACATAGAAACTTAAATAATTTTAAAAGGGTTGGTTTTTTTTGTAGTGCACCTCTAGGGACAGTCTAGCAGCCTACAAATGATACAGGCGAAGTCTAGTAAGTTCAAGTTGTGTTGCCAGGTTAGGGAATCTTATACATGCACAATATTTAATGGAGGTTATTATGGGGTGGTGTAGGCTGCCTATAGGCAATTCGAGGCTTTTCTCATCGGCGCTGCAAGGGTGGCATTCATTACAGGCTATGCCAAGCTGAAATACACTTGTACATTTATTGTGAATACATTTACAATATACTTATTATTTCACATTGATATGACTAACACAAGCCACAATTTCAAATATAAGTTTACAATATAATTAAATTTTATTGAAATTATATTTAAATAGCATTTTCATCTGACCAGTAGGGGGTGCAATGGCACCCCTGGTAAAATCATCTATCGGGCTGGCAGTGTAATCTGCTTCTTGTTGGAAAGCGTATGTATGGGTTAGTTATTGACCGACGGGAAGGGAAGATGGGCAGTATGGTGACTCAGTGACCAGCACTGTGGTGTCACTCCTCCAGGCCAAAGTCACATGGTTTGGCTGAATTAGTGTCTCTGAATTGTCTGTAGTACCCGCTTGTGTGTGCTTGGGGGGGCCCTGTGATGGACTGGCACGCCATTCTGGGGGTTCTCTTATGCTTTCTGGGGTAGGCTTACCATGACCCCCCCCTTCTGGAGGTCGTCACTACTCCTCTACAGCCAAGCTCCCTCCACTAGCTCCCCACCCCTACTTCCCGGGGTGCCCCCTCCCACCTGGACACGTAGGGGTGTCGGAGGGCCTGCTCAGCCGTCATTCTCTTGTCAGGGTTGAAGACCAGCAGGTGTTTCAGAAGGTCCAAGGCATCTGGGGGCACAGAGGACGGCAGCATGTCCTCTAGAGGAACCTGTGGCCTAGCAGCACCACCAACAGCCAAGAACATGCACCCAGAATTAAAATTATTACTGAAATACAGTGGAGTAGCCCAGTGGCCTCACAGCGCCGGGGCTGGGAGCTCGAATACCACCTTCACTGGAGCTTGCATGTTCTCCCGATGTCATTCGGGATTTCTCCCACTGTCCAAAGACATGCAGTTAGACTAACTGGCACATCACTGCACGTGTGAGGGCGTGCTTGCATGTGCTTTGTGCTGTGTTAGCAGCAGAGCCCGGGATGCTCAACGGTAATGTTCTCATAAGCTATCAAAGGAAGGTCATAGTGTCCGACTTACCGTAGGAGCATCCTCTGGATAACCGAAGAGCCATACTCCGACTTAATGGAGCACACATCTGAAAAACAAAATGCCACCACAATTAACTTTTTTTCGCCTTATCAACGTTTTTGGACTATAAACAGTCTTCACAATATGTCGCCATGGGCCCAGTTCCTGCTGAATTCCCTGTGAATCTAAGGCTGAAGCACATATTATAACCCAAAGCAGACTGCAGTCGATTTTGCGTGTCAGCGGTCCTGCGGTGAATTTTGGTGCCAAACACCGATTGGCCCAAAGCTCCAGTGGCAGTTTTCTAAGTGGCTTTCAAGCAAATGAGGAGCCACACTGCTGATGCACATAACAGTGATTTGCTTTGTATAAATGTTTATAGTCAGCATAAAACAAAGCCAAAAGCTTGAACAAACAAAAAGCACGTAGGCCACCCACCCTAAGCCCCTTAGCAAGTCAGAAAACTGATTTGTTTAAAAAAACAAGAATAAAAGAAATATATAGATTTACATGACTTTGAAAAGTTACTCATGAATTCAGTTATTTATTCATTAAGGTTAGCCAGCAAAATTCAACAAGTATGTATAAATAATGCTACTGATCACTGTATGAAGCACCTGCTTATTAACTTCTCCAGAAACCTCCAAAACTTTAGATCTTACTCTTATTGAAACAACTTGACACAAACATCCAGGCCCCAAAGGCCTTAACAGGCCCCTGTGGTCCAAGGTCACATGAGGACTAACCTTCTGGCGTAGGGTGTGGGATGGTTCTCATGATCCTTTCGATCTGGTTGATGGTGGAGGTTCCTGGGAAGAGGGGCTTCCCCAGCAGCATCTCACCCAGGATGCAGGCCACGCTCCACATGTCCACGCCTTTCGTATACCTGCAGGACAGGAGCGCCTATCACTGCACAGCATTTACCAACCGGAGGCCAAACAGTCTTTTGCCGGTAATGGGATATTATTACCCGGCTTTGCAGATAATCTGCGTGGCCTGGACAGTAAGGGTGCAAACTTTCCAGGATGATCTCCCCAGTTCATGGAGAGGGACCTTGTGCCGTACCTGGAGGAGCCCAGCAGGATTTCGGGGGCTCGGTACCATCTGGTCGCCACGTACTCGGTCAACGCGGGGTTCCCAGCATCTTCCTGGATCTGATAGAGGGAGCGGGCCAGGCCAAAGTCACACAGCTTCACAGAGCAGTCTGTGTCCAGCAAGATGTTGGATGGCTGGAAACAAGGAGATGAAGACAAGATCTTAGATCATGCAGTATCTGGACTCAGGCCAATTCATATTTCACTTTTCTGTGTGTGTTTTCGGTTGCAGACTATGGGACGTGACGTAAGTTTCGTCATCGGTGTTTGGTTCAGGGCACGCAACCATGATTTTTTTTTTGTCTGGTGGAAATTATGCACGTTGGCTGACTAGGTTTCCAGTAGGGGGCAGCACTGACTTTCACAGATCAAGAGGTCAATCAAGAAAGAGTAGAGGAAGAATAGTTGTTATTGTTAGTAGCTACGGATAACAGATGTATGAGGAGGTACGGAGAACCCGCATATCTAATATTTCATACTGTCCACACATTATACTGCAGTATGCAGTATTTCCCAACGCAACGATACTCTGACATTTTGAAATCTTGTCATTAAAATTCACTGAGTGGGGGGGCAGGTCCCAGCCTATTATTCATAAGGATTCCATCCGACTAGTAGGGGATGCAAGTCTATCGTAAGTGCTGTCGTAAGGCTTTGAAAATACCGAGGTCTGCTGTATTACTTTAATGCCGTCCAAGACTAGTAACAATTTAAGTTTACGCATTTCACTAAGCTGCCTGTATTTGTTTTTTGCAATACATCTGCCCTCTGATGGTCTGTTGTAATATCACCGCTGTATGCGTGCACAGACCAGGACTATCTACATCCAAGGACAAATACACGATGCCCTATCTGCAAGCTGAAAACACATAAAAAAGTGAAGTAAGAACTAGTCTTTATGGTCAGCATTCTGCCAATGCCCCAAATGCAGCAACCATATTTACACATTTTAAATTTACCTTCTGATCCCTGTGGATCACGTTGCCGGAGTGCAGGAACTTGGTGGCCCTAAGCACCTGGTACATGATGTAACGCTTGTGAATGTCCTTTAGAAGGTTTCCTTTCTTAATCACCATGTGCAGGTCTGTCTCTGCGTGGGGACAGGAAGAGGACAGCCGTCACAAGACAGCAGGACCTGACTGCTGTAACAGATAGGTGGCAATTACACATCACCACACCATCCTGCTACCTGGAGCTGTTAGTAACAAGTAACTTAGTAACTCATTTACTACTCAAGTACAAATCATGAACAAATATATTTACCGTGTGAAATACATGAACCGTTATGATTCATTAATGATGACCGAACATGGGATCAGTACGTAACTAACACTTAGTTTCTGGTTAATTGATACATTAAGTAAGAGCATACTACTACACCATTTGTGCTTACTGAACAAACAACGTATGAATTTCATTGCAGGTGGTGCAACTGAGAAATATGGAAGATGCATCATTTAGATGAACGATGCAGTTAAAGAGTTGGCATAGTGTCCTCCTGGCTGGGTGGGGTTAGGGGCAAACAATCACCTCTCAGCAGCTCAGTGACAACTGGTGCAGGTAAAACAGGAAAATGCCTGAATGCACCATCTCTTTGGACCCAAAGGTCTGTATAGTGCGGCTGTAATGGCCCACAGTAAATGACATTATGAATTCAAGGGAATTCCTGTTATGCGACCATGTGACACGATATTTGATTCCATTGACCTTATATCCTGCTAGCCACTACAAGGCTCTTCAGAACCTCAACATCTAACGCTCAGTCTGTAGAGACATTCAGCTGGTCTTTGACATGTTTGAGAAGAGAGAGAAACGCTGCCAGCTTTCACTGCATCATGCTGCAGTGTTGGCCGACCCACAGAGGGTAAACTGCAGGCCATAAGCGTGGACTCAGCTGCCAAGACGGCTCACACCCTTCGGAAACTGCCGGACCTCCGACTCTCAGTATCTATGTGGAAGCGTCTTTTCAGCTCAGTCATGCCTACTGCTGATTAATCCCCAAAACCCACTCAACCCCCAAGCATGACACTGCAAGTATTACAAAAGCTGGGATGCAAGAGATCACCCACTACTAACCAGTCAGGGAAGAACTTGTTGGCCTTAATCAAAACACAACCAACTTGTCTGGATTACATGGGTATATCTCAAGCTACGTGGAACTTGATGAAAATGACAGCTACACATAAGATGTAAAACACACTCAACAAACCAAGGAGTCATATTTGCACTTAATGTACATGATCAAACAAAAATCGAACATACAATATCCCTACGCACCTCCAATTCAAATTCAAATTGCCACCGACAAGGCACACTAGCTCAGAGAACCTCTCACTGCACCAAGCATCACCAACCATCCATAATAAGCATCCTCACCCATGTATTCAAACACCAGGTAGATGTCTTTGTCATTCTGGGCTCTTATTACATTAAGCAGCTTGACGATGTTGGAATGATCTCCAAACTCCTGAGAACAAGCAACAGCAGGTTAATTTCACCAACAGTCCAGGGGAAACCATCCAACACAACACTACATCTACAGTATATGTGTAAAGCAAGGGTATTAATTCAAATCCTTCTCGTTGTGTATAGGGATATAACTTCTTACCTGCAGGAACAAGATTTCACGAAACGTCCTCTGTAGATTGAATTAATAAAAACAATTAGACAAAGCAATAATTTCTGCTGCAAAAATCTAAGGATTTGAACAACATGTTTCTTTCATCCTTTTCTTGTAGCACCACAATCCGCAAAGGATCAGAATATTCAGCTGGAAGATCACAGTGCTGACACCATTTCCCAGACCCATAATTCCCTGTTTGTGGTGTCACACCTAAAAGAATTCTTGCCAACCCACCCCACTGATTTGTGTGTTTACATTCGCGTCACATAATGCCGCCATATCCCTTACCTGAGCATCAGTCCTGTTCCGAAAAGCATCAAATATCTTTTTCACAGCCACAACTTCTCCAGTTTTGCGGTCGATGGCCTTCCACACAATCCCGTAGGCCTGGAAGAGGGTTGGGTGGGTGGGGGGGGGGTCACAGGGAGAATACACAGGCAGATCATACAGCTACCCCCAAGGCCAGCTGTGGATACTAACAAGCACCATGTGACAGTGACATTATATAAACATTGTTGCTAAGCGACCCTGAATAGGTCCAATTTCAGGGACACAGAGGAAAAAAGAAGAGGGGAAAAACACAGAGCAGGGGGACATTAACACACAGATCATTGGGGGTGACACCAGCGGTGAAGGTTAGACTGGAGAGGCAAAAAATAGCTCCCTTTCTCTGGGGGCAGGTGCTCATTCCAGTGACGAAAGCCTTAGGTTGAGCTGTGCTGAGTCACAGCTCCAGGTGGACAAGAGCAATTGAACTGGCTATGGTTTGTTTCATCAAAAGCTGGATAAGAATCTAATTAAACCGACAGGTTGGATGATTAAGTTTCATGCATGCATTTATATTTAAACCAACCTGATTGTGGTGTGTGTGTGTGTGTAACACTAGGCCTACACAAAATTCACTTTGGTATATAGCATGGATTTCGGTTCACAGTTTAGTGCAATTTCAGTACAGCAGGAAAATAGAATTTCTTTTGAAAGTGTTTATTAAAACTGCAGTTAGGAACAGCTGTAAACCAAACACAAGGCAATGTGACTGTGAAGGTGTCTGAGTAACAAGACCTCACTGATGCTCATTTGCACACTAAAAATATGTAAAATAAATGAAAAATTCAAAAACAAGACTGCAGAATAACAATCATAATAAACTAAATTCCCTGTCACCCTGTATGGTCACATATCTATAGCGATAAACACCCCTATAGCCATCGGTATTCCTTTAGACCTGACTGAGTTTCCTGGCAAAAGTACCTTAAATGCCACAGAGACCTAACTTATACATACACTCAGATGATGTTGTCTCAAATGAATTAGCACGTCGGACGCCTTTCCAGCAACACATCAGAGTTCGGTATAACATAGCTGGCAGAGTCATGGTCGTATTAACTACTCTCTCTCCAGTGTTGGTGTAATTTATTGGGAAATCAAAATGTTCCAAAAGTAGGCCTATTGATGTATGTGACATGGGAGGCTCTTTGGGTTCTCCAGCACTCGCCATAACCAAGATAATCCCAAAATGATGTAACTGAACAGCGCACAACAAATACAGGTACCATTATAGATATGTTGTCTCTGGAAACGTAAAATAAATCCACAATCAGCAGGGAGTTTGTATAAAGGTTAGGGGTTGAAAAATGCCTGTTCTGTCTATACCCAAAACGCTACAGTTTTCCCCCCTTAAATACCCAAACAGAGTGATTAGCTTTGGCAAATCCCCTTGTTTCGGTAAGCAGACTGATTGCACAATACAGAGTGTGTGATTTTCAAACCCAAAACAAGGTTTCTCACCGGTTCCTTTGCAAAGGTACCAGCTCATATGTTCCCCCCTCCCCGGTCTCTCAGACAGGCAGAGGGCATCGTGCAGCTATTACCATTGTATACAGAAGCCTGTGCGACCAAGTTAACGGCTACGAAACTGGACACTACCTTACTACCTCCATATGGCCAGAAGAATCCGCTCATCACCACCTGCCCCACTTACAGTCAGTCATGGGCTCGCCCCCATTCACATGTACGTTTATGGTTTAGACCCTGTGTGGGCCTGCGGTTTGTGTAGGTAGCATATGTGTCCCTTTTAATGGGGCGACACCTGGAGAAAAAGATTGAAGAGGACTTCCTTAAAGAAATGGTTCACTTATATAATTTTCTTCCTCTGACATCCGGAAACGACACAAACGAATACTCGTGCTTATAAATGTATATGCATAACCTCAAAGATGTCTACCTGGTAAACTTTTATAACAGCTGCTTAGCGATGTTAGGTCACCAGTGCGTTAACTACCTGTTGTACACACGGCAATTATTAACTGTACATAAAAGAAATATCTATTACCCCCTAAAGACAAACTTTCCACATATACAGTGTAAGTGTTAAACGTCTAGGACCCGGTAGACTTACCCCCTTTCCAAGTCGGCGCTTTATTTCATACTTTTGTGAAATGTGCTCCTCCACTTCAGCGACGTTCATGATGCCGATCGACGTTGGATCTTAGCGTTTATTATTATGAGGGCGATGTGGCAGATTAAGCAGCAGACAGAGCAGTGCTAACTTAGGTTCAGAGACGCGAAGAGTGTCATCCCTGTCACACTGGCACAAAGCAAGGGGCCGCTGCGCAGGAGCAACCGCATTTTACGCCGGATCTACGGCCGCTACCTGCCGCAGACCCACCACGCTGACGCTGCTGGCGGCGGAATAAGTTCCCGGTATAAAATCTAGTTAAACCAGCTGTGGTTTGCATAAAATCGATTGACCTTTTCTGTTTAAATAAAGGAAGTTATAATCCACCGCTTTCGCCTAAGGCTCGGTTTTCCTGTAACTAGTTTATTGACTTCCTCACCGGGTTAGTTACTGATCAATCATCGCCATCGGGCGCTTGGACGCCTGCCATTTCACCTCTAGTTGCATTTGAATACTTTAGTAAGTTGTTGGAATGGTGGTGTTTGAGCTTTCAGGACAGTGCACTATGGTCGGGGTTCGGGTCCCCCCGTTTGTATGCTGGGTGTAAACTGTTCGGTTTCCTTTGTATTCGTTTGTTGTCCTGGAGACACGGTTCTACAGGACAGACCGGCTTCTGCTCTTAAAGGCGCCGCACACCGTCTCTCGCCTGTGGCGGAACGGAGCGCCATTCTCTAAAAACTGTGTTTGAGGTAACCCCCTTTAACTTTGTTCTTGTGCATGGGTCTGGCCAACGGCGTAGAAGGGGTTGAATTCGAGCAGCATTGTGAGGATTTTTTTATTTTTTATTTTTTTTACTTTCAGTGCATTTAACACCACTGAGCTTCCGCACTAGAAAAGGTCAAGGTGATGCAGCTTCAAGACCCCCCAGGATCACAAATTACCTCACCGACATGCCAGGATTATCCTGCAACAGTAATGCTTATCTGACGTGGTGCTGAACAACACAGCAAACTCCAAGGAATAGTATTGTCACCATTCTTGTTTACACTACAGACTTCAGGTTCAACTCTTATCTCATGTCATCCTCATCATCAAAAGGATCAAATTGCCCTATAAACAATGTCATTCATGGCATATGTTCGGTACTCAGTGATGGACATAGTTTTTATTTTTATTTTGCAGAGACCAGGAGGCAGAGTTGAAGATTTCAGGTCCAGAGAGTACAAATCCAGACCACGATTTTGTTTCAACCAACCAGTTGAGTACTCTGTGACTGTGACTTTTCATACTCAACTGCTTGGTTGAAACAAAATCGTGGTCTGGATTTGTACTTTGTGGACCTGAAATCTCCACCTGTGCTGGGAGGGTAGTCCACAATGTGGGATTTCCCACATGGGCAAATATTATGCAGGGGATGGGGGGGGGGGGGGTTGTAACCCCCCAAATAATCAAAACCAGCCAATACAACCCCCAGGACCCCCTTAAATGGGTGGAGGGAAATTAAGGAGAGTTTGTCATAAAGCGCGAATCACATTTTTAAGAAATAGCAGCGTTTAGAGCTACTCTGTTACTCCTTAAATAGTGCGAACGTTAATAAAAATAAGTTTAGTAAAACACTTTGTAATACTAGCAATAAATATGTCTCAAAATACTTCTCAAAAAATCGACTGCAGGATGAAGGGTAGGTCATACAGAGGTCAGTGTAGTCATCATACACTATGGATCTGAATCTGGGTTCAGTGCCTACACACTTTCCTGTGTTTGTGTGTGGGTTTCTTACCAGGGCGTACCAATATTGTGGCGGTACTGTGTGTGTTTAGGGGGGCCGAGGGTTCGGAGCTGATTTGGTCCCTACATAATGAAACCAATCACTGTAAATATGTTTTTGTTGTTTTTGCAGTATTATTATTGTATTCTCAACAGTTCATTGCTGAATATGTTGTGTACAATATGCTACTGCAGATTTCAGTGCATTCTGGGTTTTTTTTTTTACTGTAAATTTAAATACAGTAATATTAAGTGACTGGTAGTCATTATTACTATATAGTTCAAATTGCACAATAAATTTTCTGTTTTTTTGTGCAGCTAAATCATCAGTTGTCCTTTTTCTTATTTTACATCAAAAGCTAAATAACAGTATTTTGTTGTAATACAGTATATTATGTACTGTAGGTTATAGAGTAGAATTGTAAAATCAATTACAGTAACATTTGTATAACAGTATAATTTTGTACAGTATGCCAAAAAATAACAGTATAAAGCTGCTTCATTTTACAATGAGCTTAAAAACTACTGTAGTTACACTTACAGTAATTTTACCATGGTATGAAATACAGCAGCTACTGGATAATTGTTGCCATTGAGTTACTGTTAATTTGACCATAAACATTTTACAGTGATCCTATGTCCTTGGACATTTCAGTTTTAATTACCACCCAAGCTTTTTATATTGCCTATATTTATATTTACATTAACTATGATTATATGCATAGTGTGTATTAGTGCCCCACAAAAAACTCGCATAGGCTCTCATAATAAATGAAACAGTTTTTTAAAAGTATTGGATGTTTGTCCAATAAAACCTCAGTATATATATGACAAAGTTGTCCTATTTTTAAATAGTTTAATCGGGTTTATTTATTATCGCTTGCATTTATCACGGCAGAGTTCTGAGAGTTCTGTGTCGAATACGTCTAGACTCTAGAGAACGATTTCATGGCCTTAATTGTACAGTAAAACTACGCTTCCTTCGTGTCGCCAGGGGGCGACACAGATAACACCGTCGCTCCGTTTCACGGCTGTATCCTGACCCTATAGACCAGTGATTCCCAACCGGGGGTACGCGTACCCCTAGTGGTACGCGAGCACATTACAGGGGGTACGTGGAAAAAAATTTAATATTTAATTTCCCTGATGATGGGTAAATATTATCAGCCATTCCATTAGCTGTGCCCTGGTATAGAAAGAAAATCTGTCTGGGATGTGTTGCTTAATGAGATCTATCAGAGCTTATCAAAGATAAGCAAGCTCAGGTGTCTCATTAAACTAAATTAAGTTGAATGATGAAAACAAAGTAAAACTGATATGGTTATTTATTTTAGTGTTTTGCTCCTGATGTTCTAAGTTTAAATGTCTGTTTAAAGGGGACTCATTCAGCTTTTGTTATAACAAAGGGAGGTTTATTTACTTTTTTTTTAATTTAGTATTTATTTTCAGATTTATCATTCACTTTCGTGGCAACATATATATTTATGTTAAATTTAAACTGAAAAGAATAAAATGCCCAATAATTAAATGTTCAAGTTATGGAGATTTAATAAAATGTTTTAAATTTGATAATCAGTTGTACGTTCTACTTTTATTGAATCATCAACACATTTGACAAAGGGGGTACTTGTGGTATGAGAAAATCTCTCAGGGGGTACACAATTCAAAAAAGGTTGGGAAACACTGCTATAGACTAAAGTCTGCTGTATTCTTTATTCAGTGCCGTAGAGCCCTTATCCAAATGGACAGGATGTGTGGTCTTGTGTCTCTTAGCTGCTTTCCATAATGTTAGAAGGTCTGTTCATTGCACGATATTGATAGTTTCATTTATTCATTCATTTTCCGCTTCTCTATGTCTGGGTTTTTTCGGGGTCCGGTGTTCTGACAAAACGTCCTACTTCATCAAAACATCCTACCGTAGTGCTAATCGATACCCCTAACCCTAACTCTTACCCTAAACCCCCCAAACCCCCTAAAACCCTTACCTTAACCCTAACCTTAACCCCTAAAACCTAACCCTAATCCCAAAACGGTGGAACTGCACATGCGCAGAAAGGCCGGATAGCACGTCTCGATAGGTAGCTCAACTCGTCAGAACACCGGCGCTAGGGAGGAAGTAACTTTTGTAGTTTATGTAGTATAATTTGTATATTGTTGGAGGCTACATTAAATTATTATATATTACAGGGCATCACAATAGTATGGCGCGTATGACTGTGACCTCATACCTGTTGATAGTGGGTTTTACTCTCAACCCCGGCTCTGTGTGCGCGGAGTTTACACACTTTCCCCATATTCGTAGGGTGGATTTGTTCCGTTTACCCCACACGTAGGCATACTGTTTCAAACAATATACCAAACAATTTAACTGATTAACAGTTATGCGTTCATTATTTTAAATATTGACACCATAACAGAAAAAGTAGGCCTATACAATAGTCCTAAACGTTATACTGAACTGATTAAAGCAAAATTATTGGCGCTGGCCGGAAACACACATTAGCGTATGTAATAATTTAAATATTGTTAATAGCCCTAAATGGAACCCAATCATTTAATGAGGGTACGATCTTAAACCAGCGTCCCAGCGATGTATGTGTGCTGTCTGGGTATGTATGCATTAATAAGACAACTGAAGTAGTCAAAGTAACTTTCTGTAGTAACTAATAACTTTTATATGCAGTAATTGGTAAAGTAATTGAATTACTTTTGAATGAAGTACACACTAACTGTAACTAATTACTAATTTTCAGTAACTTTCACAACACTGCATACGACATAGCCTGCAGAAAGGGGCGTCAAAGCATTTAAATTTACTCAAGAAATGTCCTTAATAGTCATAATAATAATAACCCATTATAGGCTATATTTAGTAACATTTAATACTTCTGTTAATGCCCTTCTAAATTGATCAGAATCGAATGTAAAATTGCATTTAAGATTAGGCATTTTATATCTAATGCAACATTATTTAAATATGTCATCCGTCTTATTTTAGATCGAGATCCAACCGAGCTGAAAATAACACTTTTATTGAAAATGGGCAGGATTAGACTTTTAATTGAATGGGCTACCTCACCGACATGTTCAGTCAATTTTTGTTTTTAGCAAATTGCAAAATAGCATTTCGTTTGTTTGTTTGTTGTGTATGTAGATGGTACAAATGAAATTAATCTTTTATACTGATGTCAGCTGAGGAATCGGGAAAGATCAACAGCACGTATAGTACAATTAATAAATCAATCTGAACAAAAAGGTAGTAATGTTGAGAGCAATATATAAATATACATATTTATACTTTTGTATTCTTATCCCTGCAAAATCAACACTTCTAACAATGAAGGGTCCAAAGTTTTACCAAAGGCTATTTTTAAAACGCGATTCAAAATATTGACATTCATCTAAATGCACGCGTTGCTTGCCCTACAAAGAAAAATGCGTTTCCTCCTACGTGAGATCAAAATTATGCGGCGTTATAAATTATACATGACAGAACATTGCTGATAATTTTACACCGTCATAATTCATTACATGTCAAATGTCCCATATGAATTGTTTGAAATAGCGGCGCTGTGATACCGGCTCCTTGTGCGTTTCAGCTGCAGAAGATCCCGCCCAGGGGGTGCACATGGTACTTAAGTAATTCCTCGTTAATATAAGACGCCTACAGAACCTCTTTATCTGACAGATGCGCACGAAGACCGCTTTACAGAGACATACAAAGTCTTTGGCCTTTTCTCATTTTCCTATTATAGGCCTAACTTTGACTGAGGATGGTACAAGGACCTATTACGCCATTTAGGATCGCAATTTGCGCAACCGTTTTTGTCATTTCAGGTAAGAAGTAATTACTTGAGCTGCGTCTTAATTTTTACGAAAAAATTGTGAATAGCTGACCGATGAACGTACTAAAAGATTCAAATGACTCTAAATATTAATTCAGTAATGTTCTCTAATCGCAGGAAATGTTTACGTGTTAATGTGAATATCAATAGTGTGTGTGACTGAACTTGGAGGAGGAGAAGATAATGAGAAAAGACGAAAGTTCAGATCAGTATTTAGGATAATGATTCCTTTTTTCTTCTAGTATTTTAATTCATCAGCCTACTAACTGTTTATTAATTCCACACTCTTCCACAGAGCATTTTGATGAATCCCTAATAGTGAAATCAATACAAACATAATAGTCAACATGTGCAAATAATATGTTGTGCTGATACAATTAAAACCTGCATTGTATATGTTTTACAACAATCAATCCATCACTTTGTAATTGAATCTGATGATTATGTAAAAATTTCCATGATGAGGTTAGACGTTTTTCTTCGTCATTTATTCATGGTAATTTTTTCTGTCTTTGTCTTTGGGAGATAAGCGTCAGCAAAACATTAAAATTATGGTAAGCAGAGCAAATCCATAAGACTTTAAAATATGTCAATGATGATTCAGTACTTCTCGAGCTTAATAATAGTATAGCGTAATATCAGAGGGTTTCCATCTGATAGCTATCCAGTTACAGGAGTTTGTTTGTCATCGCCACACCAAAAATCAAATCCAACACTCAAAGCCAGGCTAAGGTCGATCGGGCTCAGATAGATTATCGAAGGATATTCCAAAATAGGTAGAAGATATGGAAGGAAAGTCATGCATGGAAAAACCCAAACCAGGAACTAAGGATCAGACTGTAGCCCATGAAGGAGAACAGAACTTCTCACCTTAAGTGTAGATACAGGGCTTTAATCGTCCATTTAACGAGACATAGTTGAACATCTTCATGCAGCTACTTTTTCGGCGGGGGGGAGCGTTGAGGATTGAGGAGGTGACAGACAGTTTTCTTAGTTTTAGTTGTCTTCAGATGTGTTGCTTTGCTTTTCCATGACGGCAAGTTTAAAAAGTGCAGCCTTCAGATCTCACGGTGGATCCCAGGTGAACTTTGCGACTCAGTGACGCCAAGAAGGAGCAGGGAGGTTTCTGAAGCAGCACCATGACAGGCTTTCACGCTTCCCATATCTGCAGCTCCACGTTTCAGCTGATCCTTTCCTCGGCAGGTGGCTTCACCGTTAGCCCCCTCCAAGCACCCCGGTCCTACTTTCCGGTCCGGGCAATCAGGAGCACGACAACTGAAATCTCGGCCTACTACTTCCCCATTGAAATCATGAATCGCATCTACAATGAATCACTCAGAAACCCCAAATCTCAGAACTACAAAACTTTGTATGCAGAAGTTACACAGCTGGTAGGAGCCTGACTATGTTCATTTCCATACCTTAACAAGAACTATTTACTGAAATAGATATACACAAATATTTATAAACACTAAACTGTATGATTACAGGAAATAGCTAAATAGCTGTAGAATTTGGTCAACATGCATTTGAGGATTGATTGTCTTTTACCTAATCTTATGCAAGGTTAATTTGCTATTTTAGTTTCTGTTTTCTGCTTGGATAAAATGTTCAATGACAATGCAAAACCGTAATGATCCGTTTGTTTGTTGTCTTTCAGTTCAAGAGTGTCTTCGGCTGTTCACACTGCGACACTGTCAATACGTATATGGGTCTTTTAAACATGACCTTCAGGTAGTCATGCAATTGTTTAAATTGTAATTTCTAGTTTTCTAGTTGCATTCTGTGCCATAAACATTATTATTATTATTATTATTATTATTATTATTATTATTATTATTATTATTGAAGTTAACAGTTTGGATTACATTTTCTAACTATAATGGTGTTCACATGCAGTTTGTGATTTGACGTCCTTTATGTTTTCAGCAATGGATCAGTGATTGCAAACTCAACAATTGCCTTCTCCACAATATTTATTAATCAGTATGTGGTGAAGAATTTATTCTTAAGGGCTGTTGCTGCAAATCCACCAAAGGTCCTGATACTGAACATGAAATACAGCAGCGGTAATGGATTTTTTTGGCCACTTCGCGATTAAGCCGCAGATTTGTTTTATTCTTTTCTTGCTCTAATTTCTGCTGAGAATATTTGATTATTACAGATGGAAATATTAATGAAAGCTGTTTAATCTGTTCAGATGTCGCGACCCCAGTACCGGCGCCTGTGCCGGGGGCCACTACAACTCCGCTCCCCAGGACGACTCAGCATTACATTCTACATACCAGTCACCTGACTACTCATAATACTAAGTTTCATTCAACTAGTAGGTCCACACCAAGAAGAACTAATTCTCCAACACACTCAACAAGTCATACAGTACATCATACAATTACTGTATCAAAAGTCTCAACTAGTACTCTGTCCAGAAAATCCACAAGCAGCACAACTAGCCACCCAAGCCACACTACTAAAAAAACAAGTAGCTCAACCACTGTTCTATCAAAAAATACTAATCCAACCAAATTCACAACTCGCCCTTTGTCAAGCCATGTTAGTCATGGAAACAGTGGTTCATCTACTGCATCATCAAAGCATACTACAAATAAAATGACTAGCCATCCATCAAGCCACACTACTAAAAAAATAAGTGGTTCAACTACCATTCCATCCAAAAAAACTAATCCCACAAAATACACGTCCAGCCCTTCGTCAAGCCATGTTAGTCATGGAAATACTGGTTCATCTACTGCATCATCAAAGAGTACAGCAGATAAGACAACTAGCCATTCGTCAAGCTATGCTACTCAAAAAACAAAATGTTCATCCACTGTTCCATCAAAAGATACTACTAATTCCACAAACAACACAACTAGTCCAATATCAGGCCATGTAACTCACAGAGTTGATGGTTCAACCACCGCATCATCAAAAAGTACTACAAATGATACAACTATATCTCCATCAAACCATACTGCTAACAGACCAAATCGATCAACCACTGCTCAATTAAAAAAGACTACTCATTCCACAAGTCACACACATAGTATTCCATCAAGCCAAATTACTAACAGTTACATTAACATTTCAACCACTACTCCGTCGAAAAATACTACTGATTTCATAAAAATCTCAACTAGACCATCAAGCCATATTGATGACAGAGTAAATGGTTCAAGCCCTTTTCCATCAAAAAATACTACTCATTCCACGAATATCAGAACTAGTCCTCCACCCAATCATGCCACTATTTCAGCGACTACTCCATTAAAGAACAGTACTTACTCAACAAAAATAACAATTGGTCCTCTGTCCAGCCATAGTCATCGTACTAGTGGTCTTCCCAAAGAAACAACTAGATTTATATGGCCTACACATGGGCCAACTATGTCAAGATCAGACACCACATCTTCTCCTTCAGGGACAGCTGTAGCACCATACAGCAACACCACCATGACTAGGGATCCATCAAGCCACACCAGTACTCCTCCCAAAATGACCACAAACACCACTCACAGCACCCTAATGACAGAACATCTGAAGATACCCAACACAACGCAGTCCCACAAGGGACCTTCAGTGGCCGGTTCCAGCCATGATGGAGTTCCAGGCTGGGGTATCGCCCTGCTGGTGCTGGCCTCTGTGATCCTGCTTCTCCTCCTCATATTCTTCATCCTTGCGGTGAGTCCTGCCTGTTGTGTCCTTTGGCACTGATTGGCTGTGGCCTGCCTCTGAACGTATCTGACTACAGTGTGATCCATCTTCCCAGCTCTGGCGCTGGTGCTGTCGTCAGGAAGAGACTAGCCCTACAGACGTGACAGGAGAGCCGAATCCCTATGAGAAGCTGAATGGAGAGCCCAGTGCCCCTGAATTCCAATCAAAGGACCTCAATGGAAAGATCTATGTAAGATATCTACGCTGGTGAAATCCTGTCCACTCCCACGTACAGTGTCTATTCGGGGTAATAAAAAACATTAGTCCTCACGTGTGGGCTTGTGAAACTGGACATAACGTGATCAGTGTTGTAATCATTCATTTTAATCATCACTGATTAGATAAATGGCAGTGGCGTGTGGTATCTTGGGAAGAAACTATTAACTTATCTCACAAGAAACATGTTGTAACTCCCAACTAATATTTCGAAAGCAAACATTTGACAGATGCTCAGATTGTATCTGGCATCACAGTCACCATTGTGTGTTGCAAAGTTAATTGGGGCTCACTGATGGGCCCCGAAACTCACTGACTGCTTCAGGGCTCATTCAGTCACTTTGAATCACCTGCGACTGTTTCTAATATTAATGTAGGTCTTCGTATAAGGAGTTCTGTCTGTTGAGCAAAAAACAACAAGACGATCGATGAACTCTGCAAACATATCTCAGTAATTATCAAAAGGATCTTTAAACAAGATCTACGTAAGACACTCACACCAGGCTTCTCTAATCTGTGTAGGACCCTGGAAAAGTGTTTTTGGTATTTTCCTTGGGTATTTGGTATTTTCTTTATGGTTCCAAAAGCATTTTAATTATCATGTAGGGCTTTTTCGGAATGAAACCCTTCCTTCAGTCCATCAAATCATTAAATATGTCTGGCCATTAATGAAAATATTAATGCTGTGGTCGGTGATTCAAAAAATATCTGGAATTCAAGATTTGAATTGTTATAGGATCAGAACGATGTCATTTGGATTCAGTCCAACAAAGACAAACTACAGGACCATAAAGTTACTTATGATAGCATCTTGATATGAGCCCAAAACCAGATTATTTCAAATTTTAGGCTAATTTTGTAGTATTTGTTGGCCTGGATTTGTTTGGGTAACTTGCTCCTAATTTCTTTTAGCTTTGTAGAGCCATCTCAGTAATTATCAAAGGGATCTTTAATCCACACTCAGTCAAATTGATTTTACAGGGAAATTGAAGTTCCTTTTGACATAGTTGCCCCTTTTAATCTATTCCAAATTTCCCTGTAGCCGGAGGATTTCGATAAACCCAAGAAAAACCGAACTGGGATGTATGTAGTCAACCCCTGACCACGTGCTTGCTGGTAAGAAAACTGTGTTACGTTTGGTCATTTTGAGTCTATTCCAGATCAACAAATGGTATTCAGTATTGCAGAGATGTGTGACTGTGTTTATACAGAACAGTATATTCAGGAAAACTCACTTAGTGACACCTATAAATAGCAATGGTCCTGTGGCTTAATGAGCAAACAGGGATCAACAATAGTGAGGCTTTACCTTTAGCTTCAGCCCCAGAAATGGACAGGAACCGACTCGGATCGTGAGCCGGATCTGCAAAGACCAAAAACATCACACAATGCAGCCTAATCTAGATAAATCCTCACTGTATCCATTGTTCATAAGGCATCTCATTCATGCATCTGTCACTATTTATCATTCAGCCTTAATCTTTAGCTTGAAAAAGCTCATTAATAGTGCTGTTCTTAAAGTATTGAGGCAGGTCAGCATCAGAAAATGACAGTGATGTTCTCCATACCTTTATGAGCTGTTTGGTGGAAATAATATTTTGAGACTCTGCAGTCAACTTGCAACTTCGTAACTATTTGCACACAATTACAAACATAGTTATTCTGTGGAATCATTATGTTGATTTATTGTTTAAATTAATTTCACAATGGTCTAATAAAAACCTGTCTAGGATTCTTGCTTATTTAGTGCAGATGCACCCGTAATCAAATTTTACAGTATAATCCCTTTCTTTTAGTAAATTTATTAATGAAAAAATTAGTTGAATTAAAGAATTCTTTGTTCTTGGGTAAATCCTTTGATCCTACTAACAGTAATAGTTTGTCATTATCTGCTTAATATAGAATAAGGGTTTTCCCAAGAAACAATGTAAAAATAATTTTAATATGCAATATGTCTTTTTGTTTGAATACTTAAAGTGAAACAGTATAAAAATTATAATGACATAATAATGAGCCACATTATCAATGACTCAGATTGTACACATACATATGATTCATGAAGTGAGGAGGGTTAGGGTTATTTCTACAAGTAATATCATAGAATAACTGGAACTCTGATTACCAGTGAAATCCGTGTTACAGACTTAAACGACATAGACATCAAGATGGCAAAAACACAGCAAAACCACAATGGGGAATTTTTATTTAAACTTTGGCAGAATTCAATGCAGATCATTTACACCACAGAGACACATGCGGTTGTACAGAAATAATTTCACAACAATTATGAAGCTCTATGTTCTTAAGCAATTTTGACAGATAAATAAAGGAGCGTCCTTAGCAATAGCTGACTGGTCACCTCCCATTTACGCACATTTCTTAGGGCCAAGCCCACATATCTACTGTTTCACTACAATACTGTACTAAAGCGTTGACTCTTTGAATTGCCTCTTAAGGGTCGACACTCAAGAACTCAATTCATTTCCAAACACTGATTCATTTTTTGTGTGTGTGACGCAGGTTCAAGATAATGAAAACAAAAACGTTTTTATGCCACGGAGGAAAGGGTGGAGCCCCTGATCAGCGAGTACAGGCATCCTCTGGAAGAAGGCCTCCGTCTCTAACATCCCACACTGAAACGGATTGGATATCAAAGATTAATATGCACACTAAAATACAACACAGTTGGGTCCTTTTTCATGCTCATTTGTAAATACCGATATATCGTTAAAGGAAATGCATGTATGATAAATACTCCCACACAGTTCAAAAATATGCTGAGTTTACTGGAGTTACCAAATTGCCCATAGGTGTGAGTGAACAGCGCGTGAGTGAACGGCGCGTGAGTGTATGGTGTGTTAGTGGGCTCTGCGATGAGTCAGCACCCCATCCTGGGTTGTTCCGTGCCTTGTCCTGGTTGCCTCCAGGATAGGCTCCAGACCCCCATGACCCTGAATAGGACAAGTGGTTACAGAAAATGGATGGATGGATGGATGGATGATAAATGACAAGAAGAGGGTAGTAGATATGTGTTGAAGTGTTGGGGATAACGCTGCTGTAAATGTTGACTTCGGCTCTACTGGAACCTCGCAGAATTTCCTCGCCCTTTAGACTTGTCAGCTGCACCTGCCAAGCATGTGGACCCAGTGGGGCGGCCAGAAAATTGCCTGTTTGTACTGATAAACACCACATGGAGGACATGCTTGTATTTTTGAAAGACAACATTTGAATGATAATGTTTATCTATAACATATGTGAAGTAAAAATGAATGAGGGCTCAACATCATTTTTATTCAACTGTAACTACATGTACCTTTCATTTATTTATAGTAATTATATTACAGTAATCAATGTTACGGCTGTTTATCACTGAACGCAATACACAATCACTAGACTTGTTATATACAGAACTATGTGGTTATTTCTTAAATGTTTTGATCACATTGCTAAGTGTATGTTTTGTGAGAACCCGATGATCTGAACAGCACATTGTTCGCACTAAACAGATAACATAATATAGTACTGCAATACTTTCTTTCTTAAAGGTAAATTATTTATGGCAATAAAAAAATATGCACAAAATACTTATGAACTTGAATAGACTCGCTATCACCTTCTCCAATTTCTTTCCATAATCCAAGACATGCTTTAATGCGAAATGGTGTCTAATTTCCCTGTAGTGCATGATTGTGTGTGTGGAGGTTTGCCTGTTTGGCCACGACCCTGTGCTGGAAGGTTGGAAGATGGATGGATGGATGGATGGATGGATGGATGGATGGATGGATGGATGGATGGATGGATGGGTGGGTGGATGGATGGATGGATGGATGGATGGGTGGATCATCAATAAGTTTTAAAATCTTAGTGCCATTTCATACTAACATTTTCCAATGCAATGGGTTTTCTCATAATACACCCCAAATAAGACAACTTCAAACCAGTTATTTGTACTTCAAGTGAAATGTTTCATGATTAATCCACATGTTTGTTTTCCTTGTAAGTCATGGTGTTCTTAAAAGTCTTAACCGGCACCAAAAACCAGTCCCAATGCTTCACTTCAACATCCATTTAATCCATTTAATCCATCATTCCTGGCTTCAGATGAGCTTGAACATCTTTCTCAGTAACTAAGGTCACACGTCCATTTGGGTAATTCGTTTATGCTCTCATATTGTATGTTGCTTGTTGGCCACTTATTGACAGCAGTTTTAAATTCTTAACATCAATGGCCGAGGAGATCCTGAAATGGGTTAATTACTCTTAGATATTCACATTCTTATTCTATTACTGCCCTGGTTTTCTTTAACAATCTGAACAGACTATGTGAGCATCTGAAGTCAGATCAATTGACATTGTAATGACATGTCAAAACTGCCTAGTCACCAGTCACCCTGCAGACAACATGGTCACATATCTCGCGGAAGCAGCACGTTCCACGTGCAGATATCTCCATCCAGCTGGTTGCTTATCAATGCCAGGATCAGCAGCAATCAGTTTCTCTACTAATATATCAAGTTCAAGTTACTTTATTGGTACCTAAAGGTAAATGTTGTTTGCAGCACAGAGTCCACCTACAAACCCAAGTAGGAGAAACAAAAAACACACATCACTCATTATACCACAATACGGGGTCCATCACTAACAATAAACAGTAAAAACACTACTATCAGTAACAAATAATAATAATAATAATAATAAATAAACCCAAACAAAATATAAATAGCTATATTTATAAGCTAATATGTTTCTAAGCAAATTATATTTTTACCTGATCATTTATACAAGACCATACAGGTGACCTGAGATTTAGCACATTCTTTACATCTTGATGTTCAAGAGTCTCAGACAGCCTGACAAACGATGCACTTCTGAACACAAATGCACTTTAAACCCCTTGTAAGCAGAGTTTGTCATTGCACAACCATGTTGTATCAGTGAGTAATAGCCCCTAAATGATGGACACTAATTATGTTGTAATAGCCCTATACATGTATATTTTGTCAAAAAGGGGAGAAAGAAAAAAAATGAAAAATAAATTAACTATGCACTTTTTTATTTGTCTTCAATTAGTCACTTCCACTTCAGTACATATTAACTTCCTTGAGCATGTCTTGAACGAATTACTATAATAAACATTGGCCTTATCAATAGTTTTCTTCTTCTCCAACCTCATAATCTTAATGAGACTATATTTTACAAATTAATCCATCCTGGTACATGTATTATATACACCCCATGGTTTGGCTCCAGCTCAAAACTTTTTTACTATGTATTTTTTCCTCCTTAGCTGACTTGTGAAAACCCCAGTTTATTTTTTCATGTATTTTACTAGTTTTTGTTATTTATATATGAAAAGGAAAGATTTCATACACACACACATAAAAAATGACTAAATACTAATGACTTAGTTCTTAGTAAGAACTAAGATGATGCCGTTTGGGTCGCACGAGACAATCAAAGTACACATGCCGTTTTCATCGTTTCTTACATTTCATTTATTTGGGAGACAGTTTTATGTAAAACAATGTACATTTTTGCGAAAGGTTAGATGGGCTGTAGCTACACGGGTCCAATTAAACAATGGCCACGCTTCATACAGATGTCTTTGAGGGTTTATTTATATCTCTCTCTCTCTCTCCTCTCAGCAGACACCGTGAAAACTATAACAAAATTAAGACAAAAATTTACATCACAGTCCATACAAGTCTCTTCCTTAGCAGCCCCGTCACAAACACGCAAGCTCGTCCAAAATACATCACACTCACAATTAACCGAAACAAAGATACATCGTTCATATAAATACACACTTAATTATAATCACATACAACACAAAAAATTTAACAATTACCGTGTGCGCCTCTTGGACCACATGCAGAGTTAAATCCCTTTCAGCACTGTGCAACTACCTCTTCCCCAGTGCCACCGCGCCAAAACCATGCCAAACGTCAGTCATGTGACCCATTACGCTTTGCGTCAATTTACATAGAATTTTTAATTATTCAATAAACATATCTTAAATAAATTGTAAAGATCACAACAGATTTAGGCATCTCAATTTATAACAAAAATGAACTTTCAGAACACACTGTCATTGGGACAGTTACATGGGCCCTGGAGCAATCGGGGTTAAGGACCTGCTGGCGGTTTCTGGGAACTGAACTGGCAACCTTCCGATCACAGGCACTGCGTCAGCTTGCTGAGATACACGCCACCCACTCTTACAGCAAGGAACATTCAACAAAACTCAATTCATTAAGTAAGAAACCAGAGTTACACAATTGAGCAGAAGTGAGCCCTCGAGTCACGTTTGCTGGAGAGGAGTCAACGTGCGATACACAACCCATTAGTGCACAGTAGCTGGCACAACGTCATACACGCCTGTGCTTTTCACTTTAGCTGATAATAACCACTTTAGCTTCGATATCCACCAGCCAACTGCCCCTAATAATAACAGTATACAGAATAAATGTTAGTTGGTACTGTTAAGGCTTCCTTCTTAAGCTAGGGTTCTACAATTATATTATAGAATATGATATAAACTGTGATGGACTGGCATCCCATCCAGGGTGATCCCCTGCCCCGTGCCCCGTGATGGACTGGCATCCCATCCAGGGTGATCCCCTGCCCCGTGCCCCGTGGTGGACTGGCATCCCATCCAGGGTGATCCCCTGCCCCGTGCCCCGTGGTGGACTGGCATCCCATCCAGGGTGATCCCCTGCCCCGTGCCCCGTGGTGGACTGGCATCCCATCCAGG